TTGTATTTCTAATTCCTTAAATTAAACAATTGGTCACTCAAAAAATCTTGAAAAGAAAACCTTGTTATTGTGGAATATTAGATTAGTTAATGATGTGTTACATTGTTTAATGTTGCGGAACATTTGCTTAACAATGCAAAGGTGTGTTGCATTTTTTTATGTTGCATTTGTGTAACTCTATAAATCTGTTGTAATTTTCCTGTCTAAATCACCTGATTGGTTCAATAAAGAGATGAATGGCCAATAGCTAGGCAGGGAGAATAAATTGAAGGAGAAAGAGGAATAAAAAAAGGAGAGAAGGACACTGTGGGCCAGCCACACAGCCACCTAGCCACCCAGCCACACAGCCACCCAGCCACACAGCCACACAGCCACCTAGCTACCTATGGAGTAAGAGTGAAAGTAAGACACAGAAATAAGAAAAGGAAAAAGCCCACAGGCAAAGTTAGACAGGATAACTTAAGAAAAGCTGTCTAGAAGCAAGCCAAGCTAAAGCCAGGCATTTAAAAGCAAGTATAAATATCATGTATTTATTTTGGGGAGCTCTGTGATGGGCCCCCCAAAAGTCAAAGAGCAAAGAGTTAAAAAAGAAAAAGCCAACTACACCTTGCCAATAGAATTCAGTAACAGATTTAAAATACTTAATATATTATAGATATATCCTAAAGTATCAGAATGGCACCATGTTAGGAAATCTATTTATGTACACAAAACAAAAGATTTGTTTACTGGGTTTTTTTTTTGAGACAGGGTTTCTCTGTGTAGTTTTGTAAAACCAGCAGGAACTCACAGAGATCCGCCTACCTCTGTCTCCTGAGTGCTGGGATTAAAGGCGTTCGCCACCACTACCGCACCAAAAGGAAGATTAATTATCACAATGATTGTGAAAATACTTGTAATAAAACTGATAAAAATAGGAAAAATTCCTAATCTAGTCTTTTCATTTACTGATAATTTTTTAATGGATTGTCCTCTGATTACAGCATTGGCTGCATCTCACATACATTCTCTGCATGTTCTATACAGGTCTTCCCCCAGCCAGTTGTTTCTCTATGTATGTATATATCCATCCGCCTGCCTATGTATGTATGTATGTATGTATGTATGTATGTATGTATGTATGTATATATTCATTTGCCTGGCTGCTTATCTATGTATGCATGCTTGTATGCATATATCCATGCGCCTTCCTGCATATGTATGCATGTATGTATATATGTATGTATGTATATATTCATCTGCCTGCTTATCTATGTATGCATGCTTGTATGTATATATCCACGGGCCTGCCTGCATATGTATGTATATATGTATGTATTCATCTGCCTGCCTGCTTATCTATGTATGCATGTATGTCTGTATTATCCATCTGGCTGCCTGCTTGTCAATGTGTCTATCTGTGTACATAGGTATGTACATATGTATGTATGCATGTACGTAACTCTGATCTCTATCTCTGTGCTGGGGGTGACAGCAGAGCTTGCATACTCTAGGCAAATGCATCTGCAGTCTCTAGTTTTGGTATTTACAGCAGCTTCTTCATCTGTAGAATTGCTTAACAGTGGTGTTCATTTCACAGGGATCCTGTGATAATTAACTTAAATTAATATTTGTAAAATATTTAAAACAGTGCCTGGTACATAGTTCTACTTAAGTGTTACTTATTTTTTAACTTTTTTTTGAGACAGGGTTTCTCTGTGGCCTGGAACTCGCTCTTGTAGACCAGGCTGATCTTGAACTCATAGAGATCCACCTGCCTCTGCCTCCTGAGTGCTGGGATTAAAGGCGTGCGCCACCACTGCCTGGCTTATTTTTTAACTTTTTAGAACATGTCTTTCACTGTCTTATTCTTCCTACTTGATTTGTTACAAACCCACCACAGGGAAAGTTTAGTACCATTACACTGGCTTGCTTTTTCTCTGTTTTCCCTCAGTGGCTTTTCGCTTTAGTTTTAAGTGCTATGCAATCCCAAGCAATAGTCCTGACAGTTGTACTTTTAACTTAAAAAATATTGTATTTATTTTCATGTGCATAAGTGTTTCACCTGCATGTATGTCTGTGTGCCACTCACACGCTTGATGCACACGGAAGCCGGAAGATGATGCTATCACATCTCCTGAGACCATAGTTACAGACGGTTGTGAGCTGCCACATGGGTGCTGAGGATCAAACCCAGGTTCCCAGGAGGAGCAGCCAGTGCTGTTAACTGCTGGTCCATCTCTCTAGCTCCAAGGATGGCATTTTAAATGTATTTATTCACGTATTACATACGCTCTTACAACTAAGACAGCTGATGGTGTCTTTTACTTTTAACTACACATGTGTGCGTGTCAGTGTGAGGAGAGTACATGCATGCCAGTGCAGGTGTCCTCAAGAGGCGAGAGGCGTTGGGGCCTCTGGAGCTGTAGCGACAGGCAGTTGTGAGCTGCTGCACGTTTGTGGGGGAAACTGAACTCCCTCTGGAAGAGCAGTACATGCTCTTAATCACTGAGCCATCTTTCCAGACCCAGATGTTGTATTTTAACTGTAGGTTGGGCCTTTACTGTCTTATTTCAAGCTTTTTACCTTGAATTCAACATTGTTTAATATTAACACATCAAGAAAAATGCCATGATTTCTGTTGTCATGTCTGTTAATGAGAGAGAAAATAATTTGTTCTGCGAGGAGAAAATAATTCCATTGCTACTCAAAATATTTCAACGCAGGGGTTGGAGAGATGGTTCACCATTTGCAAGCATGCACTGCTCTTGTAGAGGACCCGAGTTCAGTTCCCAGCACCACACTGGGCAATTCCCAACCATGTGTAACTGCAGGCGGATTTGACGCCCCCTTCTGGCTCCATGGACACCTGCACACATGCACATGCACACAGACATGCACAGTGTAGACACACAGATATGTGTACACCACACCCACCCACACCGAAAATCTTCATTGTTAAGTTGGCTGGATCCAGGGTTACCATAGAGATAGCTCTGGTCACATCTGTACCTATGCTTCCAGACAGGGTTAACTGAGAAGCCATCTGCTCCCTCCAGAGTGAGTGGCATCATTCCCACAGATTGGGGGAAAAGAGAGAAGAAAGAAAAGCCAGATGAGGGCCAAAAGTCACCTCTCTCGGCTTCTTATCAGCCCAAGTGTGGGTAAGCAGCCTTATGCTCCAGCTGCCATGCCTTCCCAGCCGTGATGAACTGGGCACTCTTATGCTGTGACCCTAAACCAGACTTTCCTTCCTTAAGGTACTCTGGTCAGGTGTTTTGTTATAGCAAAGAGAGAAGTAACTAGTAAACATCCCTAATGCAAAAAAAAAAATGAAATCTGGAAGTTTTTAAGAGTTGATGTGACATCAAGTTCCAAATTTTGTGCATTTATGGAATCTGTGCTTAGGCTGCTCAACTGGTTAATTTAATTTATGCAGCTAGCCTCAAATGCCCCCACGTCCAAAATCTGAATCACTTCTGGACCCAAGGGTTTTGGATAAAGGATACTCAACCAGTTTAAGTTTTTGTTTCATGTTAAGTATTTCTGAGTCACTTCATTATACAAGGCCGACATTTTTCAAGATCAGAGTCCCTTTCCTTTTAGAAAGTGAATTTTATCCCGTTACATTTATTATCAAAACATGCTTGGCTGTTTATCATTCTCTGTTTTCTACACTTCCTTGTTGCTTCTTTTTTTTTTCTCGAAAGTCCTGTTTTCTTAATTTCTCACCCTCGGCGCTTTGGAAGGGATGTAGCTTGCTTTCTGTTAAACAAGTTTATAACTTTAAATAACACTTGGAGACTTCTTTTTCCCAGCATATCATTGATGCGGTTTTTTAGCAGCAGTGCTTGGCTGTCTACCCTGATTAGATTCACCAGATGCTTGCCAAAACTCCTCCTCACTCATGCCAGCCTGAGGTTTCCTGCACAGCCCAGACTAAATGGCTCTGACTTGCCCTTGTTTGTGGCTGTTTAAAAACAAAACTTGTTAACACACTGTCAAATCATACTTCTCCGAGGCCTACAGAGACTTGGCTCAGGCTGCCAACGGTAAAACAGCAGGCGAGACACAAGTCATGGCTCCAGGCCCACGCCGCAGCAGGGAGGGGCACGCAGAGTGCTCCCCGTTTGGGCTCTCGCGTTGCCAACAACACGAGTGCTCACTCCCCTCTGGATCACGCCCATCCCTGCTCACCGGCACCTTCCAGAGCCATCTCCAGGGCCAGCCCATCTTTTTGTAGAAGGCTTGGAAGCCAGATGGGGAATTTTTGGGGGGTGTCTCACTGCTCCTCCTGGGCGTCCTCCACTGTGAGCATCTACGTTGACTCCAGGGAGTCCTTCCAGACTGCCCCAGCTTCCCTTGCCCCTCATCCCTCAGAGTCCTCCGCCCCATTCTTACTCCATTCTTATCTCGCACTGACCTGGGTGGCTCAAACCTGCTGAGGTACGCAGCTAGAGTGAAAGACTCCCCCCACCCCACCCCCCAGGCCAGAAACACAGATGGGGAATCCGGCTGCCTGGGCCCACACCCCATATCTGAGGCTTCTGAACGGGGGAGCTTTGGGTGTGTTTCCATACCAGCTGACGCACGCACGCACTCACACACGCACAGAACATGATAAGGTGTGAACCACACGGTTCAGCCGGTGACCCACAGAAGGCACGGGTGGTGTGGGGCCAGCATGTTGGGGCCAGCACTGCCTTGTCGGCCATGGCTGTAGCCTAATGGCCTCGCCGGGCAGGGGGATGAGTTCCACTGTGGAAGGCTGGAGAGCCAGAGAAAATGGTTTCCCTTCCGTGGAACAAGGCAGTGGGCTGGACACGGGGCCCGTGCCAACCCTTCTGCTCTGGTCTTCTTACGCGCTGTGGGTGTTAGGCCTATGAGCTTGTCTGCTACGAGGGGCGGGGAGCACATCTCCAGCAGAGGCTCCACCCCCTTTCTGACCAGTGCCCTAGCGGGAGACTCCTTCTTTTCCTCCTCTAGTCCTCCCTGCCCAGCCCTGTGTCCCCAGGATGTACCAGGGCGCCACTGCTCAGCAGGATCATGAAGATGATGAACGTCTCGAACCAGCTGTGCTCCACGATGCGGTAGCAGGTCTTGCGCAACCTCCACCAGACCTTCCCGGGGGCCTGCGTCGTGTCTACTGTGCAGCAGGGGCAGCGTCGGACACAGCCTGCGGGGGAGGGGGCAGGGTCTGATGGCGGAATGACTGAGGTTAAGGTGGTAACGGTGGGCTATGCAGTGGGCTCTCCCACAGTGCGGGAGGTCTACGGGTGCTCCCTACAGAGAGCCACACGCCCAGCAAATGCCCGGTGAAGAGGCTGGCTGGACGGAGCTGTGGTCGGGCTGGGGATGGGATGGGGACCAGCCCGTTCCCCTCAGGAGACGGACTCTGGAAACACTTAGCCACCTCGGTCTTTGCAGTGCCCCGAGCCCTGGGAACGGTGGAGCCCTAGGTAACAGCTAACGCTGCTGTAGCATGTGACGGGAAACCCACAGCTGCACTCCAGATGCAGTGGTTCACAAGCTACGGATGTCAGCCACTGACATGACCACGCGCCACGCCCCCGTGGGCAGGCAGAGAAAGCCTCCTAGGTGCAGGGTGAGGCGGACCTGGGTTAAACCGGCACACCACACTGCACGGTGCTGCCGTCCCTTAGTGATGCTGTCCAGTCCTGCACCACGGGCAGGCCCACCGTGACCCCACGCTGCAGGCAAATGGTAGAGGAGGCCGGATGCCAGCTCGGGGCGAGGCATGGCACGCACGCGCGTGCAGGTCCCCTCTGGGTGTGGCTGAGGCTGAGGGCCCCTCGGTACCTTCGGTGAAGCAGTCCTCTGGGTCCTTGACATCCTCGCCAAGGTCTGGGATTTGCTCCAGGAGGTCGGCGGTGTTGGTCAGGTCAGCGGTGCTACCCTCTGAGTAGCTGTCCTCAGGGGCCTGTGGGGGAGGGGGAGGATGAGCCTCCAGCTCCAACCTAGCATCTGGGGGAGCCTAGGGTGAGTCCAGATGGCCCTCCCTCTTAGCACACCCTGGGAATCTGAGGTGGAAGCGGCCGACGCCTGTCACAGAGCCGCTTCGGAGTGAGGACCTGGCTTTAGGACGTTTGGGCCTGCGGCTCTGGTCTACTGTGTTTAGGGCTGGGGTGTGGGGGAGTGAGGGGCTCCGGGAGAACTCAAGGAAAAGAAACTCATCTAGCTCGGACAAGACAGACACAGTAGGGGAGGCAACGGGACGCCCACTGGCACACAGACACACACGTCCTGAACAGGGTCAAAACCAAGGCACAGGCACACAGCAGCAGGCCAGACACGCAGAGAACACGGCAACGACAGCCCATGCTCTCCACCCGGCTCCTAGGGGTGTCGGGCTGGGGGCGGAGCACCAGGTGAGTCTGAGACAGTGCTGGAATCTTCCCTCCTTGGCCCTAGACCTTGATAAGCTGCTTGGTTCCCAGGGAGGCTGTAGGTTGGCAGTTCTGGACCTGTGGGTTGTGACCCCTTTGGAGTTGAAAACACCCTTTCACTGGGTCACCGAAGACCATCAGAAAACCCAGATATTTACGGTGGGATTCATAACAGCAGCAAGACTACAGTTATGAAGTAGCAACAAAAACAATCATTTTAAAATAATGCGCGCAACAGTTATGGTTGGGGTCACCACAACATGAGGAACTGTACTAAGGGTCGCAGCGTCAGGAAGGCTGAGAACCGCTGCTATCTGATAGCCAGCCCGTGAGCGTCTGTGTCATTGTGGCTGTGGATCACCCTGTCCTACCACCGTGAGCTCTGCGGCTTAGCTGGCCCCTACAAAACAGTCTAGCTGGTGGACAGCCAGCCCGGGTGGTTACCACAGACCTTAGAGCGGGGCGGCACAGGGTTAGGCTCAATGCTCTGCAGTTTCCATGCTTGAACTGCTCCAGAGAATCTGCCTTGGCCTTGGCCTGGCTCCTTCCTTCTCCCCTTCTGGCCTCTCCAGGGAGCACTGCCCCCCATGAGTCATTTACACACGGTCCTCGTCCCTCCCTGTTTCTGGGGAACAGAGCTTTAGGACAGAAGAATCAGAAGGGCTTCCTTGGAGAAAGGAGCACACCCATCTGCTTCCATCCAGCACCACTCCTACCTCAGCTGGCTGCCTGAGGCCCGCCTACACTCAGGCTCCTGACTGAGTGCCAGGGCCGGGCTGTGTGGCTGCCCCTGCCCTCTTCCCCTCCCTTGGATGAGTCGCCGCGCCCATATCTGTGCCTCCCGGGCTTGGGGGCTTAGAACCCAGATGTGCAGAGGATCCAGGCGGGTCACACATTGGATCAGGAGGGTGGTGCCACAGTGAACCCGAGGCCGGGGAGTGGCTGACACCTGTCTACAGCATGGTAACACCGCTCTCAAATTTTCAAGTGAAACAAGAGATGTCGATTTTATTTATTTATTTATTTATTTATTTATTTATTTATTTTGGTTTTTCGAGACAGGGTTTCTTTGTTATTGTTTTGGAGGCTGTCCTGGAACTCGCTCTGTAGACCAGGCTGGCCTCAAATTCACAGAGATCCGCCTGCCTCTGCCTCCTAAGTGCTGGGATTAAAGGTGTGCGCCACCAACGCCCTCATTTATTTTTTAAATAGAAACAGAAAAGCTCCCAAGTGTGCTGTGGAATATCAGTTTAAGATGTATAGCATTCACTTATGCTGCGGAACATTTGTTTAATGATGCAAAGATGTTGCATTCTTTTATGTTGCATTTGTTTAACTCTGTGAAGCTGTGTTACGCTGCCTGCCTAAAACACCTGATTGGTCTAATAAACAGCTGAACGGCCAATAGCGAGGCAGGAGAGAGGGACAGGTGGGGCTGGTAGGCGGAGAATAAATAGAAGAAGAAATCCAGGGAAGGGAGCAAGGAGTGAGAAAAGGGAGACAGGAGGTCAGGGGCCACCCACCCAGCCACCCAGCCACCCAGCCACCCACCCAGCCACCCAGCCACCCAGCCTCCCAGCCACCCAGCCTCCCAGCCACCCAGCCAGCCATGGAGTAAGAAGAAAAGAAAGACTCATAGCATAAAGAAAGTTAAGAAGCCCAGAGGCAAAATGTAGTTAATGAGAAGTGGGATAATGTAAGTTAGAAAGGCTGTCTAGAAACAAGCCAAGCTAAGGCCAGGCATTCCTAAGTAGGAATAAGTCTCTGTGTATTTATTTGGGAGCTGAGTGGCAGCTCCCAAGGGTGGAAAACCCCACAACTACACACAGGTGGTATTTCATTGCGAGTAAGGCATTTTTTTTGTGACTACAGTAAATCCTGATGACAGCCCCCGCCCCTTAACTTTTGCAGGAAGGGGAGGCATCAGGTGACTGATGTAGCCAGGAGCGTTTGGCGAGGTCGATTAGGTCCTGTTTGGATGGGGGTGTCCCACGACAAACACTTGACAAATGGTACAAGAACAGAGCGTGAGGGGAGGGCACACACATGGGACGAAGGGCGTGGTCAGGCCTGCCTCAGAGTCCTGAGCTGCCTGGGTCCACAGTCTTCTAGTGGCCTTGGGGTGGGTGCCATCTCTCCCTGTCAGGTCACTGGCTTCCCCGCCCTCCTCCCCGCCCTCCTCTGCAATGGGCCTCCATGTTGTCTGTGACCCTGGCTGTGGTTCCCCTTAGCAAACCCTGGGCCTGTGCTGTGGCATCTCACAGCCTGGCTCTGGCCCCAGCAGCAGACCACACCCACTGTTACCTCACTGCACCCCGGGGCCCGGGGATCCGCTTCCCGCTCTCGCTGCCAGTCTGCCTGAGACGTGCTGGCCTCAGCTTCCGAGGATGCAGTCTCTGACACCTGGCTCCAGGCCCCGGGCTCACGAGGGGGCTCTTGGCCACCAGACACAACCTGGGATTCCTGCTGAAAAGACCCCACGAGCAGAGCCTAAACACCCAGGCAGGAGGGTCTCCAGCTCTAAACACCCAGGCAGGAGGGTCTCCAGCTCTAAACACCCAGGCAGGAGGGTCTCCAGCTCTAAGCACCCAGGCAGGAGGGTCTCCAGCTCTAAACACCCAGGCAGGAGGGTCTCCAGCTCTAAACACCCAGGCAGGAGGGTCTCCAGGGCCCTGGCTTTGTGGGTTTCTGCCCGCCGCTTCCTGGTATCTTCATAAAGCGCCATCTACTAAAGACCCCTTCATCAGCTGACTCAGGTCAGTAAGTGAGAGGTTCCTGGTAAGTATGGTAGTCAGCGCTCAGCATAAACCTCTCCTCCTCAGACTCCCTGAACCGCTATAGCTGGATGCCCTGTGACTGCAATCTCCCCGACTTAGAAAGATGCTGACTTCTAAGTCCCCCACCCCAGGACGCTTCTGTTTGCCTGCTCTGATTTCCACAAGTCACACATAGACATGTGTGCAAGCACTCACACGTGGGCACACATGCAAACACGCACGCACGTGCGCGCACACACACACGCATGCACACACGCACGCACGCACACGTGTTGATCCCAGAGGAAAGGTAAAGGAAGGAGCTGCTGGAATTCTGCCCCACCTCCTGTGCAGGAGATACTGGAAGCTGTGGTCCCAGGATCCCCGCCTTCCCACTCTCCCCCACAATGGTTACAGCCCTACAGCTTGGCTGAAAGGGTCAAGGCTGGGCTCTGAGGCCATCGGAGGCAGGAGAAGGTAGAGCCACACCTTGTTCCCCTGGGCCAGGCTCACCCAGTGCCCGCTGAGCAATCAGCCACTAACATGAAAGGGAACCGCTGCGGATGCTTGACCTAGGGACCTAAGGTGCAGCCATAGAGCCCAGCTGGGGTCAAGGGAAACCCACCCGAGGGGCAGACACTCTGTTTTAGTCAGACCCTTGTCCCAAGTGTTAAAAATAACAGGTTAGGAGATAAGATAGTGCTGTCCCTGACACCTCTATCTCAGGGATGCTTATTTTTAAATCTCAGAGTTAGCCTCGGGCATGGGAGGAGGGGAAGGGACAGTTGTGAGGTCACCCAGCCATAGCCCTCTCTCACCAGACATTCGTCTCTGCTGCTGCTGCTGCTGGTGCTGGTGCCAGACAACAGTTAGAGTTGGGGGTGGGGGAGACAGAGGCCCCCATGAGGAACGCCTGCCCGCCCTTCGCTTTCCCTGTCTGTACCACGATCTGGGCTAGAACGCTGACTAGTGGGATGGACGGGCAGCAGCTGGACTTGGTACTTTCTGGGAGACCAGATGTGGGGCTGCCCCTCCTTCTTCCCACTGTGCCACCGCTGAGGTAGTCTGCTTGAGGCTGGAAGCTGAGCTCTGGACCCCGCACGAGCAGGCGGCTGCCCCATCAGGCCGACGGCTTACCTGTTTGCTGGATTCTTCCTCGGTGCCAAGGCTGTCCTCTCCATCCTCCTCCTCCTCCTCCTGGTCATCAGTGTCTGACTCAGCCACGGCGATGGGCACACACACGGGCTCCGTGTCCCCCCGGGGTGGCCCCGCCCGGCCGCTCGTCCTCCTCAAATCGTGTCTCCTTGCGGGCCGGGGGCGCCTTCTCCACCTCTGGGGGTGCTGGGGACCTGGGGGCGGCGACACAGCTGGGCATCTGGCTGTGGGCAGCAAGAGCCGCGGGCTTCTTGGGTGGCCTCCGCAGGAGCCCGCAGCAGAAGTCCCAGGTGGTCCTCTTGACGAAGCGCAGGCCCCGCTGGATGCGGGCCAGGGCCAGCTGAAGGTTGTTCATCTCCCCATCCTCGTCAGGGGCGGTCAGGTTGTCCGCGCTGAAGGAGCTGAGCAGCAAGGCCAGGAAGAGGTTCAGGACCTGCCGAGAGAGCGAGCGACGGGTCAAGTTCACCCAGGCACTGCTGGGCCACGGAGGGGAAACTGAGGCACCGAGACCCCGAATCCCCCCCGATGACAGACATGCACAGAGCCCTGGGCTCTCCCGCCCCTCTTCTCCTCTTGCGTATGGGAGCTTCATCTACAAAAGAAAAATGAGCCGGGCGGTGGTGGCGCACGCCTTTAATCCCAGCACTCGGGAGGCAGAGGCAGCGGATCTCTGAGTTCGAGGCCGGGCTGGACTAACAGCCTCGAAAACAATACAGGGAAACCCTGTCTTGTAAAAACCAAAAAAAAAAAAAAAAAAAAAAAAAAAAAGAATTCAAAATCTCCCTGCAAAAGGCTCAGACAACTAGAGTGAAAACTTTCAGATCTGGGTCCCTTGTGTTTCAGCCCCAGGACCAAGGAGAGAGTTACAGAGGGGGGCAGTGGGGGGCTTGCCTGGGTCATTCAGGGAGACTGGAAAGAGCCTTAACCGGGCACCAGTAGCCTCGGCAAGGGCCTGACTCTCCCTCCCTCTTTCTCTTCGGCCTTTGGACTAATGGGTGGAGCACAGTGGGCAGTGGGGGCCCAGGGATCCCTCCTGGGAGTTGGGGAGTCAGAGGCAAGGCAGAGGGTCGCCCCAGAAACTTCTCCCGTCCCTGAGGGCTTTGGAAGGGCTGATGAATCTGTGGGTGAAAGGGAAGCCATTGGCTTTGGCTCCCCACAGAGTGGGCTACCTGCTCCCGCATGTGTGGCTGGTGACGGAGCATTCTGCCTGTGTCTTAGAAAGGTCATGGACCTTTCCATGTGAGGGTCGCAGAGATGGGATGACGGCAGGGAGACAAGGAAGGTAGGGACACTCAGATGTCTCAGACTGACTGTATGGTGCGTGACATGCCCGGATGGGTGTCGTGGGACAAGGTGTGCTGCCTAGCCCCTCGGAGGGGAAATGAGGACAGCAGAGGGCCGGGAAGCTTCCCTGGCCCCTTCTCTCAGTCCCCGGGAAGGAGTTCAGCTGGAGGGGCCCTCGTAGCAGGGTGGCCAGATGCATCTCTGAGCCTTGCTCCCACTTCTCCCAAACTCCCCAGGGATGCTCCCGGCTACAGGGACTCTAAGTCTGCTAGAAAACTGGGGTGAAGGTAAGGACCAGGCCTCCGTGAGAAGCCACTGACTAAAAAAGCAGCATGCGGTCCCCGTGGCCAGTATCGGCTGGAGGGGCTCCTGTGTCGACTCTACAGAGATGTGACCACTTCTGCCACCCGGCCGCCTTTTCCATGCCCTCACCAGGGACAAGATATTCAATATTAACCAAAACTGCTGTCAAGGCTGACCTCAAGCCTGGCCCCTGGCCTCTGTCCCCACTGCCCACTGAGGGTCCTCCCCGTGGCCCACATCCCTCACCCACGCCTGGTCCCACAAATCCTGACTCCCAAGCTCCAGGCAAGGCAGGAGGCCTTGTCCACCCACTCAGGACCCAAGGGCCTTCCCGTCTCCAGCTTCCGAAATTCGTTCTCCCAGGGCTTTCCCGTCAATCACGCGTGGCCCCAGCCTTGCCTGGTCACTCCCCCACTTCAGCAGCAAGCTTGCTCCCACCCACGCTGCTGGCCCCAGCAGCGCCCCAGTTCCCAAGGCGGCAGCGTGGGCTGGCAGTAGCTTCCCTCCTCCAGAGCGTCTAATCTTCCTGTCCCCAGGCAGATCCGCTCAGAAATGGCAGGGCTCTGGTGAGGGGCGGCTCAGCCGGGCATCGGGCTGAGTGCTGACATCAGCTGAGTGCTGGGGACATTTGCTTCCCTTCTGGAGCAGAGTCGGGCAGTCCCTGGAGCCAGGTGAGGCTCCACCCCAAGGTGACAGAGAGGGGGCCCGCTGACACTGTGCGGGGTGCTCTGACCCCTCTTGGGGATCCAAGCTCCAGTCTGGGGACTGAGGAGTGGGCAATCTGTTGGGTTCTAGCCTGGCCGGGCCGTGAATAGCGAAACAGGCAGGTTTCGGGGAGTGGGTTGCAACACACAGTTCTCATGCCACGGCAGGCTGGGAGGAGGATCTGACCCTCCCTATGCGCTGACCCACGCGGGAACTGCCCACGAGGGAACTGCCCACGCGGGAACTGCCCACGCGGGACATGGTATTATTCACAGCGGGGGCCTGGCCGCGCAAGCGCTGGTCCTGCGTTGGCCACCTGTGTGTCCAGCAAGGCAGTTCCTGTCCCGAGCCCACGAGTCACTTTAACCATGTCCCTTCTGGGCGGGAAACCTCCCTTAATTTCCCTAGCTGGGGAGGAATGACGCTCATGGCCTCTGGCTGATCAGTTATTTCTGTCGGAGGGTTATTTCCCCCACATGTCTTGGGTTCGTGAGCGCCACCAGTATCTGGGCTAGGCTGCCCTTCCCCTGCACACCCACCAGCAGAGTACGCCACGTAAGGAATGCCTAGCACGCCTCTGTTACTCTGAGCAGAAAGCCATGTGGTAAGTCACTGGTAACGGGGCAGGGGGCAGGTCAATAAACGAATGAATTAAAAAAAAACACAAGCAGGTGATGACTACACGTGCAGATGAGGGTGCAGAGGAACGAACGAACGAGCCCAACGCAAAGAAGGACGGATGGGGAGAGGGGTGGGTGGGGCGGTGGCTCCCTGAAAGGCTTGTTGGGTGGATAAACTGGATGTATGTGGGAATGGAGAATGGGGGGTGTATGTGTGGATGGGTGGGGTGGGTGAGTGAGTGGGACAAAAGGGTGGGCGGGTATGAATAGGCACGAGAGAGAGAGACAGAGAGAGAGACAGAGAGAGACAGAGAGAGACAGAGAGAGAGACAGAGAGAGAGAGAGAGAATGGGAAGTTGGCAGATGGATGAGTGAATGAATGGATGGATGAGCGAATGAGTAGATGTGATGGATGAATGAATGAATGAATGAATGAGTGAACAAATGGATGGGAGGGTTAGTAACTAAGCAGACGGACTGATGAAAAGGTGGGCGGCAAGCGGGTGGCCAACATACCGGTGAGCAGACAGAGGAAAGGACAAACGGGTGAATGATCAGGGGCGCGTGTGGTAACCGCACGGGCAGAGGGGTAAGGAGCGTGCACAGGCCCGCGAGTGGGTAGCGGAGCAGAACGGGAAAGACGGGCAGTCGGGCACGTGAGTGAATGCTAGAAGGACCCCGGGCTTGTGGGAAGGCGGACGACCTGACGGACAGCTCGGTGCCTGGCTAGAGAGAAGGGAACGGAGGGGTACGGGTGGAGGGGCGTCGTCTGGGTGCACGGGCGGGCGGGGGGCCTCGGCGGTGCGCACCACGAGGCCCTTGGCCGACTCACCACAAGGTTGCCAATGACCATGACGAGCAGGAAGACGAGCAAACACAGCGACTGCCCAGACACCTGCATGCAGTCCCACATGGTCTCGATCCACTCCCCACAGAGGATGCGGAAGATGATGAGGAAGGCGTGGAAGAAGTCCATCATGTGCCAGCGGGGCAGCAGGCCGGAGTCGCTGATGCGGTGCCTCAGCTCCGAGTAGTTCTTGCCGAAGAGCTGCATGCCCACCACGGCGAAGATGAAGACGATGATGGCCAGTACCAGCGTCAGGTTGCCCAGGGCCCCCACGGAGTTCCCGATGATCTTGATGAGTGTGTTCAGGGTGGGCCACGACTTGGCCAGCTTGAAGACCCGCAGCTGAGAAAGGGGGAGCGGAGGCGCCTTTGTGACCCGTCTGGGCCACGCACACCGTTATTGCCCCCTCCCCCAGCTCCTGCCTGAGAACCCCGGGGGACTTGTTCCTGCGACACACACCGCACTGGTGTCTCTCAGGGAATCGATGCTGGCCTTAGGGATGTGAGCCTCTTGGGCTCCAGTCCATCTCCACCTTAGGCTTTTCCCACTCTGCTTTCTAGGGCTGCCTAGTGGATTGTCCCAGCCTGGGGTGCCCTTCCTCTATCGGATCTGTTGCCTCAGACAGCCCGGGCTGTCTCAAGCCATATCTCACTCACCCCATCTTGCCGTCTTTCCTTCCTCCCGGTTACCACAGAGAAAGATGGCAAGCGCTCATATATACGTATTGGGCACCCACTGTGTCCCAGGCCTGTGCTTAGGAGGGATTGACTTAATCTGAACCTCCGGTAACCACACACAAGGCCGGCGTGGTTACCATGGCTCTTCAGGTGAAGTGACTTCCATAAGCTCCTTGGCTTTTACAGGAACAGGATCAGAATCAGAACCCAACAGACTGGACTTTCCTGCTGCCCCTACGTCCCCTACCGGAGCCGCACGCTCCTCCCCCAGAAAGCCTTCTCTGGCCACGCCACCAGCTCAGAAGGACCTCAGGTATTCTGAGCTCCAGATGTGATCCACACCCAGAAGGTTCAGGGACATCTGAGAGCCACCCCCCCACGAGTCTGCCTCTGCAATTTAGCAAGATCCTAGGCAATTTAAGCACTTCCCAGTTGAAAAAAAAATGCCATTTCGGTAGTCAAGGCCCTGAGTGGGCCACTCACAGACCGGGTCGTGCCTATTAACTTGCCATGTGATCCCATTCCTGGGTCCTGGTAGGGCTCAGAGAGATGCACGGAAGGCCACGCAACTGTCGGCTGTTCCCCCCGGGGAATGGCTCCGACGTTCCCCGCCCCCGCCTGTCACCCCCCCTGGGCCAGGAACCCAGTGGGCACTTGGCAAATGTCTTGCTTTCTCAGTCAGAGCAGGACAGACACAGTGTTTGGACGGCGGCCGCGGACAGGGCGCTCCCAGGCCCCGCTCCACACCGCGGTGGGTCCAGGCACGTACCAGGCGGAAGGAACGCAGCACAGACAGGTTGCCCATGCGGGACAGGCCCAGCTCCATGAGGCTGAGGATGACAATGATGCTGTCGAAGATGTTCCAGCCCTGCTGGAAGTAGTAGTAGGGGTCAAGGGCAATGATCTTGAAGGTCATCTCTGCAGTGAAAATCCCCGTGAAGACCTGGAGAGAGCGGGAGTCGGCGTCCTCAGTGTGGGCCGGGGACTCCGGCCAGCAAGCAGCCCGCGTCCTGACTCTTGCCCTGCCAGGCTTCTCCCCAGGCCCCTGGGCTGCCCGCCAGGCTCATCAGCTCGGAAACAGCCCGCATTCATCACGGGCTCTGCAGACGTGACACCTAACGGCCACCTGCAGGGCAAGCTGGGCCAGCTACAGCACCCTCACAAGACTCCAGGAGCTCAGGCCCCTTGTGTCCGCCGTTCCCCACGTTTCCCGTGCGCTTTCTCCCCACCCGCAAGCCAACTGCCTCCCTGTAATAGCAAGCAGCCGCCGCTGCTGCTCGAGTACTTGTGGGTTTTTGTTTTTAATGTGTGCGCGTGCATACGTGTGTCTGTGTGTGCATGTGTGTGCGTGTGTCTGTGTGCATGCGTGTGTGCATGTATGTGTGTGCATGTGTGTGCACATGTGTGTGTGCACATGTGTGTGTGCACGTGTGCGTGCATGCGTGTGCGTGTCTGTGTGCATGCGTGTGTGTGGCGCTATGTGCTGTGCACACACATGGAGGCCAGGTAAGGACATCAGGTACCCTAATCTATCACTCTGACTCCCTTGAGACAGGGTCTCTCACTGAACCTTGACTAGAGCTTGGCTGGCATTTAACAAGTCTCAGCCACCCCCGTCTCTGCCACCCACATCAATGGGGTTATAAAGTATGTGTGGTCACACCTGGCTTAAAAAATTTATTTTGCAGACAAGATCCTCACTGTGTAACCTTGGTAGCCCAGAACTCTCTATGCAGACTGGCCTTGAACTCGTAGCTACACCTGCCTCTGCCTCTTGAGTGCTAGGATTAAAGGTGTGCGCCATTATGCCAGGCTATGCCTGGCTTTCCATGTGGATCCTGGGGATTTGAATTTAAGCCCTTATGCTTGCGTAGCAAGCACTCTTACCCACTGAGCCATCTCCCCAACCCATGCATATTTTTAAAAAACTCATCCAAAAGCATGGCCAATGGCCTACAGTCTATATGTAGCTGAGGCCCAACACTAAAGTAAACTTAAAACTTTTGAGATTAAAACAATTTTTTAAAATTTCCTGGTTCTTGAGTGTAAACTTCCTAGATGGCAGTATCACGTTGCGATGTCCAAGACTGGACATGCCCTCCCAGAGGCACTCCTGACGGACAGACGCTGGCTTCCCTGGGCTTGTTGACTTCATAACCAAACTGCCTGACATCCGTCTACGATATATAGGAGCCCATGGTGTTGGTGGGCAGCCACGACACAACCCAAGACCCTGAAGGATGCCAGACTGGCAGGGTATGATCCCCAGAGGAGGGTGTGTCTACTGAGGTTATAGCTTCAGTCGGGGGTCCACAGGAGCTAGCCTGGCCATGGTGAGGAGACAGTGTCTGGCCTGAGGAGACACTCAGGGCTTCAGGAGGGGAGGAGGGTGGCAGACAGAGTGCCCCGGGGAACTGTACCTGCAGCAGGCATGAAGTCACGGGAGCTGAAGGCACGCCACTGGGGCCAGCTATCGGCAGGGAGGTTGTCTGGCCTGGGTACCCTCGGGGGACTCTGCCAAAAGCAGAGGCTGGCATGGCTTCCCTCTCTGCTCAGATGGGGTCCTGAGAAGGTGGGCTGGGGGGACCTTGCCACACACCAGCCCGTCCTTACTGCCCAGAAAGAACTGTTGCCCAGAGGGAACCTCAGAATCCTCCAGGCTCCTCCCAAATATATGGGCTGTCCTCTGCTCCTCCCGCAGCACGTAACCGACAGTTTCTTCATGTCACAGACCCCAACTCCACGAGGCCGCCCTGTCTCTCTACTCCACCCGCAAGACTCCCTCCCTTCAGGCCTGTTCAAAAGTTACCGAGTCCATGGTTACGTGTGTAATAGGCCCCTTCCAGCACATTCCTTGGCCCTTCCCCTATCCCAGCCTAAGAACCATCTGGGTATGTGTAGAGTCTTCTCTCTTTGGAATAAGCAGCAGTTAAGATTTCTGACCCGCAGGCCACCATGTTCCCCCATCTGGCACCACTATGTTCATTTCTACACCTTGTGGGAGCCTTACATGCCCAGACTTAGTCCTCACACAGCTGTGCTCAGACCCCCCTCCAACCCCACCCTCAAGCACTCAGCTTCCCCAAGAGCCCCTAAGAGGGGTCACTGGCTTCCCCCTCCTTCAGCATACAGGCTTGGATTTCCTAGAACTTGCCTGGGCACAGGAGAGTGGGTTTGTAACTAAGGCCTGTCTGACGGGCCCCTAAGGGTTCTTCCTCAGTTCAGGGAGCAGACCCAGCAAAGGCCCCTGCTCTCCACTTTATTCAGGCGCCCAGCTGTTTGGCTAGCAAGATAATGGATAAGAAAAAGACCAAAGAGGTGCTTTAGACCAAAACCAAATGGCCCTTGTGGCATCAGCAACATCTGCCGAACCTTGTTAAATACTGAGTCTGGGGAACCGCAGAGCTACTGAGCCTTCATTCTGACTAGATAGTGTTTTGGAGCACTGTCCTTTGGATGCCCTGGGAACACCTAGGAAGTCTTGAAATGGGAGAGGCTTGATCCTGCCCTAGAGACCCTCAGCAGCTCAGACACAGGGGCTTTAAAAAAAAGAGTTTATTTTTAATTACATGTCTATATGTGGGTATGTGCACATGAGTGCAGGTGCGCACAGAGGCCAGAAGAGGGCGCCAGCTCCTCTGGAGCTGGAGTTACAAGTTATTGTGAGCCACAGGATATGGTGCTGGTAATTAAACTCCAGTCCTCTGTGAGAGCAGCAAATGTTCCTAACCTGTGAGCCATCTCTACAGCCCCATGCAGGGGCTTTTTAATACTTCCCAGGTGACTCTGGCTAAAATTGGGAAGTGACTGAAATTTGGCTCCAGACCTTCTCCTCCTTGGCTAGGATCGCACCACGCATGCTAAAGCCACGGAGAGTGCAGCCGACGGTGATGATGGGTACAGAATGGCAACCAGATGTGTGGTACGAAGAAATGTCTGGCTCCCTGTAGTCTTAGCCCAGCTTCTCCACCCAAATGGGTGCACGTGCGAAACAGGGCAGAGACACCCAGGAGTTAGGGTTGAGGAGGGTGAAGTGGGCTCTACATGTGGAATTCGGGGAGAGTGCTGTCAGCAGCATGCACTATAACTCCCGAGTGGAGCTGAGAGCGCCTGAGGATGGCTTCCTACTTCCCAACTCCTCAGCAAGAGGAGACGATGGAGACTTCCCAGTAAGTGGGAAACTTCTGGGGAACCTCAAGCGGTGGGGTTTGGGGCTTGAGAGGCGATTCTACTGTTAAAAGCACAGACTGCTCTTCTAGAGAATCAAGTTCAATTCCCAGCGCCCAAACGGCAGCTCATAACTGGATGTGATACCAGGGCAGGGGAATCTGACGCCCTCTTGTGGCCTCCTTGGGAACAGGCAAAACACCCATACACAATTAAAAAATTTTTTTAAAAAGGGGTTCTTTTGAGTTAGGGCTTCACATAGCCCAGGCCAGTCTTGAACTTGACCTCTTTCCTGAGACTACACGATTCACACTGTAAACCTGAGTTTACCATGTGATACTCTGGCTCCTTTCCATGCTAATTAAACACAATTTACAGTGCCCCCCTTTTTTTCTATTATTCTCCAAGACAGTTTTCTCTGTTAGAAAGACTGACAGAATAAAAACCATTTTGCAGACCTACTGTTCAATTATTGTCATTGGATAGAGTTTTAGCAATGGAATGGCGTCAATGACCATCGTTAGAGCTTCTGATGTGGCTAACTGATCCTCAGAGACATGTTTAAACCAACTTCACGAGTAGCGTGTGATAACTGTCTCCCTGCAACTGCTAATCCTGCCTTTCTGTTCCCAGCACACAGCTGTTTTATCAGCCATCCCCTTAGTTTTGTATGTCTTTCTTTGCCAAACTGCTGCTCATAGCCTTTGCTAATTGTCCTATTACAGTGTTTGCTTAATTTTGAGTTGGATATAGATACACTTTTTAGATTAGAGATGTTACCTCCCAGTCTGCTAAATGTACTGCTGTGATTTTCCTGGCTTGTCATTCATTCCCCCCCTTTTTAAGTTAAGGAATAATTTAAGAGCTGGGCATGATGGCGCATGCCTACGATCCTAGAACTGAGGAGTGTGGTTGGAGGACCAGGAGTTCAAGGTCATTTATCTTGTGAGTTCAAGGTCAGCCTGGCTCCATTACCTACCTGTGCTCACTGGAGAGTCTATCCCCAACCGACATTACCTACCTACTTTATTTTAGTGGTTTTGTTTCTTTATGTTAATATTTAAGCCACTTGGACTACATTAAATTCAAGAAAACCAAAGTCTTTTACAGTAGCAATAAAGTTATCCAAACAGCACAATACACAGCTGTTACCAATAACCGAGTGACAGGTTTAGTACAACTGTCATTCAGTCACAAGCTGACAGTTCAGCTCAGTCACCAAGATTCTTCATCACATACAATTGCTGCCCAGTCCTACCCAGGAAATCTACAATCCGCTTAAATCCCACAATGACCACCCGATGCCCTCTTAACACCTGCAGGTGCACCACGAGACCTGCATGCTGAGGTGTAGCAAGGACTACTCAATACCCACGGCTGCACCACGAGACCCGCATGCTGAGGTGTTCCTCTCCCTCAATTTGCAAGAAGGAAAGTACAAGAATAGCCAAATGGGCTCAAATGATTGGGAAAATGTTGAAAAAAAATCTGCAAATCACCACTTAAAGTTCTGGGTTTATAAAGCAGGTACGAAAGAAAATATCCACAGCTTGCAGTGTGTGTGAGGTCCACCTGCTGGTTTGAGGCACCTGAGCAGCTGGGCCAAGCCTGCTGTGAGACAGACCTGAGACCCAGCTAGGAGCCTCCCCACTGGCCAGAGCAAAGATCCCCGTCCTCCTGAGGACCTCTCGAGAGGAGCCGGCTATGTCCGTGTGTCAGGACACGGTAGATGTATGCCTGGCTTTACTCCACCCTGCCATCCCTCCTGCCTCATTTTCTCCATCCGTACAGCGAAGAGGCAGAACGTGATGTGGCTTCAGAAAGATTATCTTGAGGAACCCAGACATCCTGACTTCTGGGGTCAGTCTCTTCAGTAATAACAACCACCACCACAGCCCTCATCTAACTGAGGGCTTGTTGTTCTTACAAGCTGGAGGACAGCGCGTCACAGACATTATCTTATTCAGCCCCATTAGCTTCCTATGAGGGTCATATTGTCTGATTCTTGCATTTATTAAATTCAGCAAATGCTTACTGTGCCAATTACCAGGATTAAGTAATTTGCTTGAGGTCTCTAGTTAGTAAGGGCTGAGTCAGAATTCAAATCTGGTTCTGCGCATCCTTGGTTGACTCACCACAGTCAGCCATCCATCTGTCCATCTGCCCACTGACCCAGCCATCATCCATCCACCCACCTACTGACCCAGCCATCATCTATCTACCCACTGACCCAGACATCATCTACCCACTCACTGACCCAGACATCATCTGTCTACCCACTGATCCAGCCATCATATATCTATCCACCTACTGACCCAGACATCATCCATCTACCCACTGACCCAGACATCATCTACCCACTCACTGACCCAGACATCATCTGTCTACCCACCTACTGACCCCCAGACATCATCCATCTACTCATCCACTGACCCAGACATCATATATCTATCCACTTACTGACCCAGACATCATCTGTCTACCCACCCACTGATCCAGACATCATCTATCCACCCACTGACCCAGACATCATCTATCTACCCATCCACCAACCCAGACATCATCTATCTATCTACCCACCTACCGACCCAGACATCATCCATCCACCCACCCACTGACCCAGACATCATCCATCTACCCACCCACTGACCCAGACATCATCTATCTACCCACCCACCGCCGCACCCATCATCTGTTCACCATCCACATTTTCCCTCCTTTTCTTTAAATATCCATCCACTTACCTGTCTCCTGCTCTCCTGCTCTCTGATGATCCACTTAGCATCACCTGCACATTCAACCATCCTTCTCTACCCCCTTCCTACTTAGTATCCATTCCTGTCCTCTCATTCCACTGTCTCTAATCATCTCTGTCCTTCCTTTCCTCTCTCCGTATTTAACTATCCATCTGTTCTCCCTCCCATCCATCTGTCCATCCATCCGTCCGTCCGTCCGTCCACCCACCCACCCCTTTGTCTCTCACTACTTCTTCCCAATAATCCATTCATCTCTCTATTCTTCCCTTCTCCCCCTACCCAGTCACGTGCCCTTCCTTTTCCTCACTCAATGACGCTGACGTTCATCTGTACAGTTCCGTGCTGCACAAGGACAATCCCATCCGTCGGGCGCTTCCCCCTCCGTTTACTCTCTGCTAAGTCTCACGTCTCCACGCAGCTCAGATGCCCACCCCCCCACTCACTTTTGCTTTGTAGCACCTGAGCGCGTTGACAAGCTCAAGCCCTGGTCTCCCCCACTGCAAACCCACACACCTTTGCTCCTCCCAAAACCTGACTTTGAAACTTCCTCCTCCAAGATGTCTCCTATGACTCACACCTTCAAAAGCCCCTGAGATGTTCAGAGACCACCCCCACTCCCCCGTGAAAGCCCCGCCCCGCGGGGATGCCCATTTAAGAGTCAACGACGTGCGGCCCTTACCAGGTTTCCGACCTGCAGCATCTCCTCAAACTCGACTGTCATGTTGTAGTGCTCCAGAGCCATGAAGAGCGTGTTAAGCACAATGCACATGGTGATGGTGAGGTCAGCAAACGGGTCCATGACCACGAACTTCACTTTCTGCTTGATGGACATCCAGAGTGGGCAGCACTCCCAGATTAGATAACGCTGGGCAAAGCGGTTCCAGCATGGCGGACATTTACGGTGGGACTCCTCCAGCTCTGAGGACCGCCAGGGAGTTAGTTAACTGGGTTTGTTGACCAAGTTGGCTGCCTCTGGTGGCATTCTAGAAAGGTTTTGGGATTCGCGTGGGGGAGATGGCAGGGTGCTAAATGACAGTGACGCAGTGAGGGGAGGCTAGGGGAAATGGTGGCCTGTGCCTCTGCTCTTCACTCGGGAAATGTGGGAGGAAACAGCTGCATGGACAGGGAACCAAGATGGATACGGGGAAAACAAGCCATGACAGACTACGATTAATGTGGGTTCCTGTAAAACTGCCGCCTCCCATAGATGTGAGCAGGACAGGCGGAAAAATGAGGGCGGGAAGCAGAATAGCCAGGTTCTGATGGGAGGGTGCTCAGGACTGCCTGGGGTGGGGTGCTGGGATAGGTGGTTAAGACGCAAGTGTCCATACCCGGGACAGGGTGACACAAAACAGGGTGCCCAGTTTGGCTTGGAAGGTGTGTGGAGTTGCCTAGGGCGGGGCCAGCCTAGGGCGGGGCCAGCTGAAAAGGATGCAGGATTACTGAGATAGTCCAGGCCCATATGGGATTGGCTGAGAACAGCCCAGAACAGGACGGGCATGCAGGAGACAGGGTAGTTCCTAGACTGGGGAATGCTTGGGAGAGGGCTGGGTGAAATGGAGAGGGGCCTGGGACGGTCCAGGACAGGGGTGGGACACCTAGGAAAAGGGTTCAGAACCATAGAGCCCAAAGAACAGGAGATGTCTGGGGGGGAGGTACGGGGGCCTGAGGGCGGGGGCAGGGAGGAGACATTGAGGAGGCCGGAATGGAGGTAAGGGGGGCGGGGAATGTGGGGGAGGTTTAGAGGACACCAGGGACACTGACCTTCCAGGGCGCTCGTGAGGACACTGACAGCACTGAGTGCCCGCTGCCGTGCTCCGGGCTCCTCAAAGCCATCTACACATGGAGCCTGGGGGGGTCAGCATCTGGGGCCCACCTGGATCCTCGGATGGCGTGGTCTGCGTGCAACCAGGAGACATGCATCAGCCTGGGAGGGGCCCGGGCTGGGGAGGACTCATGAAGGCAGAGTAGTCTTCCTTTCGTGTTGTGTTCTTTCAATTTTAAAACCGCATTTATTATTAATTTATTCATCCGTTGACTGTTTACGAGAGTTGTGCGCATACGGAGCTCAGAGGACGGACATGTAGCGGGAGCCACTTCTCTCCTTTGGCCAGCGGGCCTTGGGGACTGGACTCAGGCTGTAACGGCTGGCAGCTACCGTGTGTACCCCTTTACTCATCTCCTTATCCCCCACTTGTTTTCGTTTGAGGACAGGGTCTCATGTAGCCCAGGCTGGCCTTGAACTTGACATGTAGCTGAGGATACCCATAAACTCCTGATCCTTCTGCCCTTGCCTCCCAAGTGCTGCTGGGGCACAGGTGTATGCCACCATGACTAGTTCACGCCACGCTGGTGAAAAGTCCAGGGCTCTGTGGGTGCTAGGCACGCTCTCTAGCCACTGTCTCCACTGAACGACATTATAGCCCCAAGGATGGAGGCCTTGACGGGATTCTGGATGCTGGCCTTGGAGAACCAACCCTACTCCAGCTGCCAATTCCCCCGTCCTTGCTCCTCCCACCCACCATCATCTCCTTCCTCCTGTCTTCTCAGGGTACGTATGCCATCTGGGCCCTCCCAGTGCCAGAGGCTGCCACATGCATCAGTGCACGCAAACATGATCATGGACATCAGTGCACGCAAACATGATCATGTGTGTCAGTACATGCAAACATGATTGCATGCATCAGTACACACAAACATGATTGTATGCATCAGTGCACGCAAACATGATCGTATGCATCAGTGCATGCAAACATGATCATGTACATCAGTGCACACAAACATGATCATGTGCATCAGTGCATGCAAACATGATCATGTACATCAGTACACATAAACATGATGTCCATCAGCACATGTGAACATGATCGTATCATCAGTGCACACAAACATGATCATGTGCATCAGTATACGCAAACATCATTTGCATCAGTATACACAAACATGATCATGTGCATCAGTGGATGCAAACATGATCGTATACATCAGTGCACGCAAACATGATCGTGTGCATCAGTGCATGCAAACATGATCGTATACATCAGTACACGCAAACATGATGTCCATCAGCACATGTGAACATGATCGTATCATCAGTGCACACAAACATGATCATATGTGTCAGTACACGCAAACATGATTGTATGCATTAGTACATGCAAACATGATCTTAATTAAAACTCTTTATAGTTAAAGGCAGAAAGGGGCTGAAAAAACCCCAGCAGACTCTAGGATGGCACTCATAGAAACACAAACACCATGCTTAACATGGTGCTTAGTTGAGGCTGGTGGCAGGCCACGTCACTCGGAGGAAGTGTGACTGTGCCTACTCAGAGACTCTTAATTTTTAATGATTGTTACTTATTTTACACGTATAAGCGTTTTGCCTGAATGTATATGCCTGTGCACTATCTTGTGTGCTTGGTGCCCATGAAGCTAGAAAAGGACACTGCATGCCCTGGAACTGGAGTTACAGCTGTGAGTCTCCACATGGCTGCTGGGAATCGAACGCTGGTCCTCTGGAAGAGCAGCCCAGGCTCATAACCACTGAGCCATCTCTTAAGCCGCTACCTAGAAGTTTTTAAATGGTCCTGAGAATCCGTGTCTTGTAATCTATCTTCATAAATACTTTCACACACACAACAAACCTGCAGAGAGATGACGTTCGTTGCAGTGCCATCCCTAATACCGAAGCAAAACGACCAGCCAATAGGAAGGTCACTATAATCAATCATGGCTACAGCCCAGCCCTGAACTCTGATACGGACAACAATGAGAAGCTGACCTGGATACACTCCCCTGGGAACACCTCCAAGACAAAGGGTTAGATGTAAAAGCAAGACAGAGATCTGGAGGACAAACGCCCAACTGTTAAAGTGCTGACACTGTGGGATTGGGGGCTGTGCAGAGCGGAAAGGGGCAGGCAGGTCCCTGATCACTGTATGAACTTTCGGATCACCGGGGGTGGGGGGTTGGAGGGGGGGTAGGGGAGTGGCCTTCCAACAACCACTTGCAAGCAGAGCTACGTACGGGCTGTCTGGTGGCAGCAGCTGGTGGGCAGGCCCTCTCCGGGCTCACTCAGAACCACCCTGAACCAGACAGGGCTCCTCCTGCCTCCCCAGGCGGACTGGAGCACTGTGTACCCAACACAGGGCTCTGTTTGCAGACTAGAAATGGGTTCGCTGGGGACCAGCTAGGAGTGGGGAACGCATTCCCAGGGGCTTCTGCCTGCGGATCCCTTTGACTTTTCAAATGTCTCCATCTTGGTTGCTAATTCCTTTAACCTCAGAGACGACTCCATCTTGGCCCGCTAATCCCTTTAAAGTTACAAATGGGCCCCGCAGAAGTGAGAACGGGTGAAGTCAGAGTTCCCGGTAATGAAGTGTGTGAACTTGGATTCCTCCCGACATGTGCTGCACAATGAGATGATTTTCTCCCTAATGGGATTAGGAAATTCTATTAGCGCTCCAGGCTGCTGAGCTCTGCCTGCCTGAGGCTGGGGCTCCAGAACAGGGGGGCCTGCGAGCTCAGGGCTCCTGGAAGCCAGATACCCCACCCTCCAGGTGACGGGTCCCGAAGGACAGATGACTCTGCAGCCCCTCTGGGTCTTGAAGTTCCCCGCCCTAACTTCCTGTGTAGGAACCGGACACTTGGCAGTGCATCCCAGAAGCCTTTGCTCACTCACGTCAACACACAGTAAACGGTGAACACGCCCATGGGGCGAGATCTGGTCGGCCAAAGCCCTGGTCCTGTTTCAACACTCTTGGCCCTAACACCTGCTGACGTACAAGAGAAATCTTATTTCCACTTTGCAGGAAACAGAGGCTCCGGATGATTAACCGCATAAAGTCCTACAGCTAGTGGCCGCCACCTCCCGCCCCCCTGCCCCTTCACGCCACCTCCACCTTCCTGACCGAGATTCCGCCATCCGTGGTTCCCTCAGAGATAGTTGCACACGTGTGGGCCACGCTTCACTTTCCGGCACTGTATGCGGAGTCGCGGGGCCAGCACAGCTCCTGGGGCCCACTGGGCAGTCACCTGTGCGCCACTGACAGGCCTCTCTCATGATTAGCACCTAGCTGACAACGGCACTAACGTTTGCTTCCTCTGTTCCAGCCACGCTGACCTCACGGAACCACAAGCCAGACAGACTCTTCCCTGGGGCTGTCTGCACTTTCGCGGTCCTCGACGCACTTTGGTATCCATAGCACAGTGCTATGACAATTTTAGCAGTGTCAAGCACGTCCTGTATGCCTGCCGTCCTTCCCACATTAGCCAATTTCATACCCCCAGCGGCCTCAAGATGGGATTTTTTTTTTTGCCCACCACACAGATGGGACGCTCAAGGTGCAGAGGAGTAAGAAGACTTGGCCACCGACGGCCACCCAGCTGTCAGCTGCAGTCTGGGATCCAAGACGAGGTTAATGTCAAAGGCTTAGGCATCAGCCCCTCAGCACACCAGCCCTCCCCGCTCCTAGCCAGTGTGTTGGGGGCTCCTCTCTCCTTTCCCCACATTCCCTCCCTCCCTCCCTTTCTCCTTCCCTCCCTCCCTTTGACTTGTCTGTCTGCCCCGTTAGCACGGTAACTATGGCGGGGCGGGGCGGGGGGGTAGAGATATTCTGGATTCTGGGGATGGGGCACACAGTAGGTGTTTGATCAACAGAAACCATGGCGGGGAAAGATGTTCTGGGAGCAGTGCACACAGTAGGTGTTTTGTCAACGTTTGATGAGTAGTTTTGAACCTTATACTCATCACCAGTTTGGGAGACAGATCTGGGCTGATGCCTGTAGGCCAGGGGCGGGCTCACCGTGTCTGGGGGTCGTTCCAGCACCATAGGGCGGAGAAGGTGGCTCCCTGGGGAGGTGGCCTCTGCATCACCTGCCCCCAACAAAGAAACTACCCCGTTGCAGTCCACGGTGCTGTTTCTTTTGCCATTGAGGACATGGCCAGGAGGGGAGGTCCCAGGACTGTGCTGTCCTTGGGCACTGGGACGGCGCAGGGGCCAGGGCACCAGCAGCGATGTGCGGTGGCTCTCACTCTCCCCCGCGGTGCTGTTCTCATCATCCGCAAAATCCGCCTCAGAGCCCTGGTCCCGTCTTCGAAAGGTGAAAATGCTCCCTCGGCTGGAGCGGGGCTTCATCGATGTCCGGCTAAGTCCATGGGCAAGGCTGAGTCGATTCTGAGGGCACAGGGAGGGCGTTGTAACCCATGTGCCTATGCTTCTGCCTAATAACTCTCCTGGTGACATCTCCTAACTCATGGTGACATCTCCTAACTCATGGTGACATCTCCTAACTCATGGTGACAGTCTCCTAACTCATGGTGACATCTCCTAACTCATGGTGACAGTCTCCTAACTCATGGTGACAACTCCTAACTCATGGTGACATCTCCTAACTCATGGTGACATCTCCTAACTCATGGAGTCATCTCCTAACTCATGGTGTCAACTCAGTTTCTTAGAGCACTGAGGCTTTTGCTGGCTGCAGGGGAGCTGAGTGGGCTGAGGTGGGTGCTTGGGAGGGGTGGGGGTATCTGCTGTATCATCAAGGTCTCTACTCACTTCATGTGTGTATCTCTGGGCCTGAAGGTGGGACTAGGCTAAGCATCAAGAGGTAGGACCAACACTAGGGGCCCCTATGACCCCACGGCACAGCCCCGCCCCCCGTCCTGGCCTCTATACTTGAGGACTAGCTCCAGGTAGGAGGCATCTCCCCCACTTTTTTTTAAAGAATGACTATGGGACACTGGAAAGGCTGGGAGGGGTTCGAGGATGACTTTCTTAGAGACCAAGCTTGGAGCTGTGGCCACGCCAGGGGCCACCATGATGGGCTTTGCAAGGGCCAGAGCCACGTCAGGATTACCAGTGCTCTGGGACCATCTTCTGAGTCGGACTTGGGGAGCCTGTCATCCCCACCATCCTCTGTCCCTGAAGACAGTCGCTTCCTTCTTTTGCTCCTTCTCTCATGGTTGGTGACTGGGGCCAGTGGGGACATCTCCAAGGAGCTACGGGACACAGTGTCCACACCCCTGATGGTGAGAGCCTGAGAAAAGACGGAAGAAAGGGTGTGGGTGTTTGGGTCCTGGAGAAGCCTAGGGTAGCCACAGGCTTAGGCAAGCCACGCATCTATCTCTCAGTGATTTTGTGGTCCCGTAACTAAACTTGACTCAGACTGCGGATCCCGTGGAGGTCGTCACCCCCGGGCAGACCCACAACGCCTTGAGAAAGATCACCGACCTGGATAGGGAGCAAGCAGCTAAGTAGGGGTGTGGGACAGTTGAGCGAATGGTGTTGGTGAGCAGAGGAAACGGCAGAATAAAATGACAGTGGATCTTCTAGAAGCTGCGCTTGGCCAGGAGGGCCCTGGAGGGAGCACCAGGAGGCAGTTAGCTCACACAGATTCCTCCAAACTGGTTCTGTTTTTTTTCTAATTCTTCTCTGTGTGAGTACAGGCCGGGAGTCAGCCTCAGGTGCTCTTCCTCAGGGCCATCCGCCTCTGTGTCTGAGACATCTCTTGTTGGGACCCGGGATTTCACTGATTTAGTCTAGGCTGGATCCACCTTCCCGGCAGGTTTACAGCTCACGCACTGCTTTCTGATGAGGTTTCAGGTGCTGAATTCAGATCCCCACGCGCTTGTGTGGCAAACACCTGCACAACTGGGCCGTTTCCCACCCCCTTCGTCTTGGTTTCTGACAGCTACCACAGGGGGAGCTGGAAGTGGGCAGCCAGAGAAGAAGGGCCAGTGCTTAAGTCTCCAACCTTGGACCCCATTCGCTGACCCGCCAGAAAGAACTCCTTGACTAGAGTAAACCACCCATGGGCATGGGCCTTGTACCAGTGTCCACAGAGGCCGTTTTTACCGGGGAGCCGTCACGGGCACCCAGTCTGTACTTCCTATAAAACACGGTGGCCATAGGGAACAATTTTACCCGGACTGCGCCACACTAACAGGCCCACCTTGCCCAGTAAGGACTGCCTTCTACCCAGAATGCACCACCTACTGGCCTTACCCAGCATGCACCACACCCCGCAGGCACTGCTCACTCACCTCGTGCTCTTTCTTGAGCATCTCCATGGCCTCCTGGAAGCGCTTCTCCTTCTCCTCCGTCTCAGCGATGGTGGCTTGGTTCTGCTCCTCATAGGCCATGGCCACCACAGCCAGGATCAAGTTCACCAGGTAGAAGGAGCCCAGGAAGATGACGAGCATGAAGAAGATCATGTAGATCTTCCCGGCGGACCTCAGGGTCTGGAGGGGCAAGGGGCCAGACGTCACCCTCTCCGGGACTCCGAGTCAGGGCATTTCTAAGTCACTGTCTGGCTATGCCAGGGGCTCAGTGTCCTAAAGCCTGGAGGTGGAGAAAAAGCCTGTCCCAAGTGGGGGAGGCAGGCATCTCACCTAATGGGGAGAGAGGCTTGCATCTAAGAGAACGTTCCCGTCACACAGGGCGGAGGGACACCTCACCCGCCGAGCAGGGGGTCCTCTATAAAGGGGACGGGAACTTAGTCACCAGCCCCTTCCCCTGCCTCCTCTGTCACTCTCACCAGTGGAAAGCTATTGGGGACATTCCCGGCTAGCCATGTGCGCAGCCTGGCCCGGAGCCCACGCCTAGCACCCGTCTGCCGGCCCCAGGCACCCATGCACCTGCTGGTATAGGCGTTCCCAGCAGTCCTGCGTCATCAGGCGGAAGAGCGCGAGGAAAGCCCAGGCAAAGGAGTCGAAGCTGGTGTAGCCATGGTCTGGGTTCTCACCTGCCTTCAGGCACCGGTAGCCCTCAGGACATGTCCTGTAGCCAGACACACACACTCTGTCCCGTGCCCGTCAGGGGTCCTGGCTTGTTTCCCTGGGCAGTCCAGACTGTGCCCAACTGTTCAGTGCCAGGCATCTGGGTCCTGTCCTCATGATCTGGGTCTTGCCACATTCAACATGGGCCAGGCCTCTGTCCTAGACCTTACCTGGACTCTATCTCTAAGACCCACGTCCAGTTTCCCTCCGCCCACATGCCACGCCCTCCCCAGCGGCTGCTGTTGCTTCTGCTATTGCCTCCCCTCAGGAAGGAAGCCCAAGTCCACTCCGTGGGAGGCTGGACACAGTGGGAGCCCCAGAGGGAGGGAAGGACCAGCAAGGCTAGGCCAAGTGTAGGCAGAGACGGGGTCACTGGGTGAAGGCATGGACTAGGTGGCGTCTGGAAAAATGCCTGTTACGCACGCATGCACACATGCATGCACGCACGCACGCACGCACAGGAACAGGACTATGGGGGGAGAAATCTGACAAGTGCCAGGACACTCCTAAGGGCAGCTGCACCTCACACCAAGGCACCCCAAACATCTCTCCAACAGTGGGGGGGGACGGAAAACATGAGCCCCAGAACCTCACTCCTGAAGCAATCCCTCACACGGTGAGTTTGTGAGCCCTTACCCTATCCCAGACAGCTATGCACACAGACAGAGCCCTCCCTGGAAACTGCACCCAGACACAGGAAATGTCAAGACACCGTCGTCAGGCTGCAGGTTTGTGGTTTGCCGCCGGGATGAGACCACACTCACCCACGAAGGGCAGAACAGCGGAGGCGGAGGCAAGGTCTAGTTAGGGTGCTGCGAGGCATCCCCTCCTCACCCCAGCCCATCTTTAGGGCTCTCGGGCTCCTCCCTTCACATCTGTCCCTGGTCTTTCTTTACCAGCTATCTCCTGTGGCAGGGGAGGGAGGGGGTGCGGGAGCTTCCAGGGTTCTGGCCAGGAAAGAAGTCTAGGGAAGGTGTCACCATCCCAGGATGGGGGTGTCAACAGATGGAGCATCTGCGAAAGAGCCAAAAAAGCCGCTGGGAGGCGTGTCCCACCTACCCGGCGTCGGAGCTGTTCCCACACAGTAACACGTCGGTGGTGCCGTTCTTGAGCAGGTAATTGTCTGCAAGGACAAAGCCTGGAAGTGAGTGGCTCGGGGAACCCGGCCTCTGGCTGCCCACCCCATGCTGGGTTTTGGGAAGACATCATTGCCCGCCACCTTCCTTCCCTCTTTTGTCACCGCTCTGGTCCTTAGCCCGATGCCCGGCCGGGACTCGGTGGCCCGGCTGCTTCTCTGGACCCGTCCTGCTCTCTGCCAGTGTGTCACACACACTTGAAAGCACAGGAAGCCCCAGAGGCAGCTTCTGCAGCACCCTGCTCCAAACCACTCATGGGGGTAGCCACGGCCAAGAGAGGCCCTGAGCCAGGAGGCAAGGGTCCGGGCAGAGCTCCAACTTGGCTGCTGTGTCATTGTGTGGCCCACCGCCACAACACACACTGTTAGAAGAGATGCCTGCCGGTCACCATGGCAACACTGCATGCAGATGGGGCTGGGTTCAGACCAGGTGAGGCACAGGCCACCTGCTCTGCCACCTCCCCATCAGTCACCATGGCCCACCTTTGTCTTGGGAAGCGTTTCTTAGGTGTGGGCCTGACCAGTAACACTAGTGTCTGGACCACAGCTTCCTGCGTGCCAGCTACGCTTGACTCAGAAGCAGGCCAGAGCCTCCAGTCTGTTTTCTGGGACCTTCCAGGTGACTCCGGCATACGGTGAAGTGTGAAGCCGTCCATTTCTGTGAGGTCGCAATAGGACCATAGCCATGTCCGCTCACTGGCTCTTTTGTCTGCTTGCTTCCCAGTGGGGCCGCTAGTGCTTGTACCTAAGGGGCCCTAACTGCAGGAGAGCCCTGTGCATGCCCGTGGCCCGGCATCCGGCCCGGCCTGGGTGTCTACCTTTGAACGGGGCTTCCTGAAAGAGGCAGAACCCAGCCGCTTGGAGAGGGGGGTGAAAGGAAGGGTGCGCACAACCTCACAAGCCAGTTTGTCATGGCCGTCTTGAAGGGTCCTAGGGCGTGTGTACACTGGAGAGCAGCATGGCCTGCAAGGGCACTGAGTCAGGAACTCTCAACCAAGCACGGTGACACTCACAAGGGACCAGGGAGCTGGTCTCCTCACAGTGCCAGCATTCTGGACTGGGCCTGTCCCCAAACCATATAGGTGTGTGTGTGCGTGTGCGTGTGCGTGTGTGTGTGTGTGTGCACGCGCGCGCGCACACACGCACGCACTTGCCCTCTCAAGTGTTAGGAGTCTTCTGTAATTGTTTTCCATTTCTCTCATTTTGGGGGATATGGCCTTCCCGTGAACCTGGAGCTTGCTGGTTTGGATAGTCTGGCTGGCCAGCAAGTCTTAGTAACTCTCCTGTCTCCACCTCCCAGCGCTGGGATTACAGGTGCATGTTACCGCATGTGGCTTTTTAATTCAGGTGTTGGGAGTCAAACTCAGGTCTTGATGTTATGGCAAGCACTTCACTGGCTGAAACCATCTCCCTACCCCCCCAAACCCTATCCTTCAAACACCACCTCTCCAGTCAGCCTGAGAGCCCAGGAGGGCACACCCCAGGCCTGCTTCTGGCCTCCAGCTCTTGAGTCTTGGGTGGCTCTGACAGGCTCCCTGCCCACTGGTGAAGCCTGGGTGGAAGATGCCCACCTTGGATGGTCTCCCGCCACCTTCTCCAGCCCATACCTGGGTCATTGAGGTAGAGGTCCAGAGAGTCCCAGACCAGGCCGTCAGACTCCACAGAACCGTTGGTGCCGTTGAGCTCAGTAAAGTTACGCACACACTTGTGCCTCAGGTTGCCCATGAAGAGCTGCAGGCCAATGAGGGCAAAGACGCTGAGGCAGAAGACAGTGAGGACCATCACGTCAGCCAGCTTCTTCACAGACTGGATCAGGGCTCCCACGATGGTCTTCAGGCCTGGGACAGTGAGACAGCGTCACCCACAGACACTCCGCTCCACGATCCTCTAGGTGGAAGCTGGGCCTGTAGAAAGGCACTGAGCTGCCCGTGTCCTGCACTGAACGGGGGCCGGGGACAGGGGCGGCATTGCAGCCAGTGACACGGTGAAGGAGGCTTTCTGGGCCTTGAAGACCACGGATCACTTTTTTCCCGTCTGAGTCCCTCCTGGCCGCCCAGGTCAAGGAGCTCGGCCCGTCTTTGTATCTTCCGAGGGGCTTGAAACTATTCTCCACCAGCCCAGTGTATGAAATCGTGTGGCTTCAGGACCCAGTGTGGCTGGTCCTGAGGTGTACCAGGTCTGGCCCTTTTAACATGGCCCACAGCAAAAAGAGGCCAAGGTCGTCAGACCCAATTTGAGCCAATGCAGGGGCCTCAGTGTGACCTGGAAATGGTAGTCACAGCTGCTCCTGGTTGGGGGGGGGGGTCTTCCTGCTCTACTGCTGGGGCCAGCTGTCCTGCAGACTCAGGGAATTCCGATGATCCAAAGAGAACTAGGGAAGGCAGGGTCTTGGGCTGGGGCTGACTAGTGTACAGGGTGGATACGGGGCTCTGGCAGGTTTGGCAGGGTGGGGCGGTGTCCTAAGTGGGTGGGGCGGTGTCCTAAGTGGTGGGGGCGGTGTCCTAAGTGGGGGGGCGGTGGAGTGATGCTCTGGGCTAGGAACCATCTTTGGGGAAGGTCACAGGCAGGGGCAAGGGTGAGCTATACCCCTGTTCCTCGGGCTCCTCCCCATCGCTCCCCTTTCCCCTAAGTGGAGTGGCTGTGATCTGTTAGTCCAACTCGCTGCAGAAGCCAGTGGCATACAGCCAAGTGACAAAAAAGCGTGGGTACACACATCCCCTGACCCTCAGCTACCGTCCTCGTGCGAGCAGAGAATCAGGGGCCAGGGGCTCCCCCGCCAGCAGCAGGGCCCCCGACCCCACCCCCCCAAAGCGGCCAGATCTCAGGTTAAGCTCCATCCATCCACTGTCCAGCCTGTTAAAGTGTGAAGAGCATCTGTGACTATTGTGTCCATGGCCCAGAGACAGAGAAGCAGCGGTGGGCGGACGAGAGAGGGGAGGGGATAGGCCCCCCACAATGACGCCATCACTGCTGCCTGCCCAGGGCGCTGGCACTTGGCACTCTACGGAAATCATCCTGGCACATGCTGGCAACTGCCCAGTGGGTGGGGGAGGGATCCACGTGACCTCTACGGTTCAGAGCTGAGGACCTAACCGGGAGACACATGTGTGGGTCTGCTCCGACAGCTTGGAGACTGCTTCATTTTAGGGGTACAGAGACGGTGGCTGTAGCTTGGGTGCCCACCTTGCCTGTACCTCGACAGTCAGGGCTAAAGTATCTTGGGCACGAAATAATCTATTCAAGGCTGGCAAAGCTATCTTTCTCTGGTCTTTGGAGACAGCAGCAAAGGTCACCCCACACCTTAAAACCTTCCCTCGTAGCAAAGACACAGTTCACTTATGTCAAGAAAGGTTTCAAACACATTGCGGGAGCTTACAGCCTGCCCACTCTGACTTAACTCCTGTGTTAGGAGAGAAGACACAGGCTCGGAGGACTCTGAGGTCTTTGGGGTGCAGCCCTGGGGATTCCTCCTGCAGGGAGCATTCCATCAGGTTGTGACACCGCCTTCTCCAGCCACTTTGGGGACTGCTTTATGCTGCCTCACTTAGGGGCTGGCGGCTTCAAGGGCTTGTTAATACCTCTCTTTACCTGTGTCGTTCTGTAGTACTAGGGAGCTGAACTCTGGGGTCTTTGATACCCTAAACAAGCCTTCTGTAGCCATCTGCATCCCCAGGTCGTTTATTTATTTTAGAGTTTGAGACAAGACCCTGGTCTGGCCTTGAACTCATTCTGTAGCTACGGCAGGTCTTGTCTCCCGTCTCAGTCCTGGGCAGCTGAAAGTGCAGACCTACACTCAGCTGGTGACGCCTGATTTCCTGGGAGCTCCTGAGGGGTTGCCCAGCCGTGGCAGGGACTTGGGACACCAGTGCAGACACCGGGAAGATGTGGTTTTCCCTGTGCACATACTGAGTGGGTTCAGAGGCCAGGAGAGACATTTGGAGATTCAGTCTAAACGCAAAATGGTCATGGGCTATGCTTATAAAATCACCAACCATGACCAGGGGGCTCTGACTTTTTGATGTGAGCTCAGAGCTGGGCTCCTTATGACTCCGAGGGTAGCAATAGGCCCAAAAGTCACCAACATCGACCTCTAGGAGTAGAGGCAATCATTGGTCCAGGGAGTTCTTCAACTCCGAGGCACCTATGGATGCGGATGCAGTCTGGTGCCCTCCTGTTACTCCACACCTTGTTTTCTGTGACAGGGTCTCTTATGAAGACTGAAGCTTATCATTTTTGCTAGAACTGCTGGCTAGTGAGTCCACCTTGCCCACCGCAGCCTGAGATCACAGGCACATGCCGCCACGACCAGCTTTTTAATGTGGCTTCTGGGGATCTGAACTCAGGTCCTCAAGGCTGTGCAATACGCTCCCCCCCCCTCAGCCATCTCCCCAACTACCTCCCTAAAAAGTCCTTGCCCATTTCTGAGGACAATGTTCTCAGGGGCTCTGAACTTCTGGCCACTACTCCCCCAGAACAAGTCCATGCAAGCAGTTTGAGCTCATGCCACCCCGGGGAGAGTGAAGTAGATGGGTAAGAGGCTCCAGGGGTCAGGGCGAGTGGTGGCACCTTTATTTAGCACCAACTCTGTGCACACATGGGCCCCTGGGCACTTTCCTGTGTGGACAAGTGGGCTGGCGTCTGCCGACGCAGTCTGGGTTTACACACCCTGGGGATAGTTGCCAGCATCTGTCAAGGAGGATTTCTTCCCGAGGCTACCATGCATGGTTTGCTAACCCTCTACTGCGCCATGCAGCGAGGGCTTGTAGACGCCAAGGCCCTGTCGTGCCTGTCCACAGAGTACGCTTTGTGTCGTAAGACGGGGGCCGAGGCTTCCACGTGTCACCATAGGGGACAGGAGGCTGGGATCTGGCGCTCAGTCACAAAAAGACTGCTGGGGTTGGCTGGGCCGAGTTCCCTCGCACACCATCCTTTTTGGCTTCCGGTGTGGCGCATCCCAGCCTTTCACTAGGGAAAGCAGCAGAACTCAGTTTGGAGAATCAGTCGGGCATTTGGGGGGAAGAACTGGGGATCAGCGCCCGTCTTGTCCTGGGTTTGCCCTGCGCTCCTGGTGTCTGAGAGTGGGCTTGGCTGGGGTGGACAGCACAGAGCCCATTCTGAGGTCCCAGGGCCATTCTTCCTGCGCCCCGGCCTCTGGGAAAGGTATTCTGGTGACAGGCACGTCTGAAGGGCCTTCCGGGGGGGCAGCCACGGCTCCCCCCAGGTGTCTGGAAAGGCCCAGGCGTGTCCCTCCAGCCTTGGCGTTTAACCTGCTGTTTTCACCTGAAATGACTGATATAGTTTTCAGGGCCCGGAGGACTCGGAAGGTGCGTAAGGCAGAGACATTGCCCAGGTCCACAAATTCAGTTGTGTATCTGCAACAAGGGAGGTTCACGCACGACACAGTGACAGCACACGGACAGCAGACACGGTCAGAGGAGGAGGGGCGGGAGACAAAGAGAGAGTCACTTGTGGCTGAGGTAGGTAGGCAGCCCTGCTCTTACCTGGGATGACTGAAATAGTTTTCAGGGCTCTCAGGACTCTGAAAGTTCGAAGAGCCGACAAATTGCCTAGCTTTATATTTTCTGATACATACCTGCGGGACCAAACCACAGTTATGGCAAGTTACAAAGCGGAGAGCCGTGTGCCCGCCCCTTCCCCTCAACTCCCCCACCCCCCCCCTGTCCGCTGCAGTGTGCCCACCCCTCCCCGCTCCTGGTCCCGCTGTGGGGGGGAGGTGGCAGACTTGGGTCCTCTCCTGGCCTTTCAGCCTAGCAGTCTTAAGGATGCACACACAGAAACTCCCAAGGCGGCCTTCTCCATGATGGTCCCAAGATCAGCTGGTGCCAGGCGGCGACTGCTCTGGGGATCGCCCATAAGACTCCACGACTAGGTCTGAGGCTGGGGATGCGTTAGCGTGTGGTGGGAAGAGGCTCCGGCAGGCAACGGTCCGTGGGCTTCTGGGCTTGTGTTCCCTTCAACCGTCCAACCTCTGTCACCACTGGTTACCTGACTGACTCTGCAGCCCCGGCTGAGGCCTCCGCGTCTCTGGGAACCGCCCACTTTCCCTTCCTAACCACAGATCTGTGCAGGGAATGATGAGGAACTGCGATGTCACAAGACGTGGCATGAGGGTCCACGGGCGAAACCGTTCCTGAGATGGGAGGTGCCGTCTCCACAGACTCCGTCCGTCCCGTACGGGTCTGAAGGATGCTTGGCTGGGCTGGGTGGCTATGGGCCTCTCATCTCGAACGTGGACAGCAGTCCATCTCGGGCCTCCAGTTGCATAGGAGGCACCTGTCTGCATGAGGCAGGCATCTGCCCAAGTGGAACATGTGACCAGGCGTGCACTGGGCAGGCCACATGATCACACAGATACTGGAGAGGTGACTGCGCGGTATGTGGCCAAGGCCCTAGGGATAGTGGCAAATGACCTGTGATATTTAACCAAAGGCCTCTCATCCAGGGCATGTGACATTTAACTGAAGGTGTCTGATGTTTAACAAAGGATGTCAAACTCGGGGTATCTGATGTTGAACCAAGTGCGTCTAGCCCAGGTGTCTGGGTGGTGTCAGGCCAGGTCGCCAGCCCTGCAGAGATTGGAGAGTGTTCAGGCCTGTGGAATTCACACTTGTGAATCCCTCCCGGAGCCGTTGGTGTCTACACCATGGGTATGGCTGTCCAGCTTGGCCTGGCTTTGTTCACTCTTGGGATCCGTCCATCTTCACAGGCTCCCTTCTTAGGCACATCTTCTCCCAATGCCTTCCTTCTTCTGGCTACCCACGGTCTTCGCTGTGGCACGATTCCCATCCCATTCTCCAGTCTTGTTTCGGTTTACATATTCCATCCCAGCAGTCAGGAACATCCCATCATCCGCTGGGGAGCAGAAATCACCTCCCGTGTTCTGGTCCCTCCCTATACAATGGTTAACTTGATGCAAACTCTTCCCCTTGTGTCTTTAGAATCCCCCCCCTCTCCTGGATGACTCCGATCCCCCAGACCTCTGTCCCCAGCTCCCTCTCCCCGTCTCCGTCTAGACTACCATGGGGCTTCGGAGTTGAGCCCGAAATGTTGGTGACATGCCATTCCATGGAATACATGGCTGATGTCAAGAAACCAATCCACATCGCTGGTCCCCTGGGGGTGGCCTGAGATGCTAGCTCCTCTCCCCCACCGTGGCGTTTTCAAGGTTACGTCTCCTGGTTACAGGGAGTAAGCAGAGCAAGCCAGCAAGGAAAGGAGGGGACAGACCATCTTGCTTTCCCCCTCCTGTCCCTGAAAGGCCTGGTTTGTCTGCTGATGTCTCAGGGAAGGTCCCGCAGGCCCTCCTACTGAGTGCAAAGGAGCCAGGACCCCAGGGTGATAAGGACACTGCTGTGTCCCTGGCAGGCTTGCCACCATGATGTGGCCGGAAATGAAGCATAACTGCTGGCGATATTTGCTTGGAAGACCAGCCTGGGGCTAGAGGAAGTTCCAAAGGGGCAACCAGAGCTGAGCGAGGGCAGGCACGTCTGGGACCACCGTGTGACCGGGTGGCTAACCGGCTGTTTTCACCCTACCTTTGGTGGCTACCTCCCACCAAAGGAATACTGGGTTTCCACTAAGGGCTCTCCGGGAGCCCCCAGATGTGGCAGAGCAAAGGGACCCTTTCGTAGCGGACAGCCTGTCTCATAAGTGACGTGGACAGGATGGGTGAGGGGTGGGCAGAGCTCTCCCCCAAGCCAAATCTACCCCTTGGCTGACTGAGTGCCAGGCCGGTGGGGGGCAACTGGGTAAGGTGGTGGCCTGATACGGAAAGAGGGGGACGGGTGAGAATTCTGCACTGTCACGCCAGCGCTGGCACACCACGGCGGGCTTTCTGGGGGCTGAGAAACTCCCGGGAACGGCACACGCTGGCCTTCTTCCTGCCCCGCCCTCACCCCAGAGACAGTGGAGCCCACGCTGTTAGCTCCTGTGGCGACTGCCCCCCCTCCTCCGTGCCCTCCCTCCTTTCCCTCCAGGTTTGGTTTCCATAACAACTCCAGAAGGTGGGAGGCTAGTAGCTGGCAGGTAATGCCCAGCTTGGGGGGGGCAGGAAAATCTCAGGATGTTGGACGGGGACCTGAGCCTGGCGAGGTTCCCAGCACCCCTCGCACCAGCTTCTAAACCGGACGGGGTGTCAGAGGAAAACCTGGTGAGGAGAGAGTGCGGGGGCGGGGGGTGGCTCTCCCATCCATCCCTGGCAAGGAGCTGGGACACCCAGGGTGGCTGCTGACTCTACCGTTATGAGCAGGTAGATTCTCTCTGAGCCTGGATGCTGTCTCCCCTCACTCAACTTCTGGCCCCGCCCAAGGCTCCTCTGACGGTCCTGTGGGCTCATTTCACTGCGGCAGGATACGCCTCAGAGGTGGGGACTGGCGGGTTTTCCTGATGGCACGGTGGACACCCGCCAAAGCTATGGGGAAGAGTCGACTAGTGACGGAGAGCTGGCGTTCCTGCAGTCTGCGTTGTCCTGGCGCGAGTGTGCAGGCTATTTCTCCAGATGCTCAGAAATGTGCTCATTGCAGGAATCAAGTCCGGCTGCCCCGTCCTGCCCGTTCTTGGCACAGGCGTGACTGGATTCATTGGGAGACACATGGCATTTTCTTCATGGCTCTGAGTAGAAGGAGTGGTTGCCCATGGAATCCCACGGGGTGGGGGACAGGTACTCTCTCATGGGACAGGATCCCGCAGGACCTGCCAGCGATATGAAGCCACGCAGAGTGTCCTCTAGACACCAGGGCTGATCTCCGGGTGAGCTGGCCTGATGGCTCTACTTGCAATGCATACAGATGCATCTCCACGGTAACTCCACAGGCTCCAGGACAGGCGAGTGGGAGGCAGACGCTGGCCCCTTTCTTGCCTCAAGTTCTGTATGCTCTGAGGATTGCTGGTCGCCCCCCGCATTCTACAGAGACCCCAGAACCAGAGCCCAGCCTGCCACCACTCCAGACACCAGGACAGTGAAGCCTCAGGTCTGACAAGCTCTCCTCTCAAACCCCAGACTCGCCTCCCCACTCCATTCGTACTCATGATCCCGCTTTCATTTCATGGAGAAAATAGAGGCAATCAGAGGAGAGATTCCTTCTCCTCTCTTCATCAGCCCTGCCAATCCGCCTCCACCTCCAGCCAGAGCCCTGCCTGCAGCTGAAGGTCAATGCCCCACCTCAGCACCCCGAGTCCCAGTCGCTCAGGAAGCCCGCACCCCCTGGCCTTCATCAGAGGTCCCCCTCTTTGGGATCATTTCCATCAGTCCCTCTTCTTTCCCAGTCCTTCCGTGACTCCCCCCCCGTTTCCCTCTGGCTACCGTGCCATTTTCTGTCTTGTCTCACAGACGCTGCATGGATTAGAGACCTGCATCTCACGCTTCCTCCCCCGCCCCAGACCCTCTCTACCCAGATGCAGAGCCTCCCACTCCACCCCTTATCCGGGGCACCAATGGCCACTCACAGGCCAGCAGACCCTCTGCTGCCGCACCTGGACACCTGTCCTAACGGCCCACAGCCTCCTCCCGGTACGATCCTCATGGGATTTTCCTTCCTTGCTGGCTCTTGGGTACCATTCTCCCCGGTGTCCTCTCCCACAGCTGGCCGGTTCCCACCCCGCCCCTGGCCTTTGTGCACCACCCCTTCCTTTATGTTATGTATGTGGGTGTGTGGCTTACATGTGTGTCTGTGTACCCACATGTTTGCCTGGTGCTCCCACACCGGCCAGAAGAGGGCGCCAGATACCCCTGGAACTGGAGTTACAGATATCTGTGAGCCACTATGAGTCCTGGGAACTGAACCTAGGTCTTCTGGAAGAATAGCCAGTATTTTTAATCATTAGTCCCTCTTACCAATCCCTCTGCTCTCCCCCTTTTCTTAAGTATTTACTTATTGTGTGTGTGTGTGTGTGTGTGTGCACCTGCGTGTGTGAGTGTGCACCCTATGTGTGCAGTGCCTGTGGACACCAGGAGAGGGCATCGGGTCCCCTGGAACTGGAGCTGCAGCTGGTTGTAAGCCACTCAAATGGGTGAACTGAGCCCCATTCCTCCCCCGCTTCTTGACCTCCAGATGTTGGTGTGTTCCACAGAGCCATCTACAGCCGTGCTCTGGCCTAGGTTATCTTCTCTGGCTCAATGTCTTCAGCTCCCCAGTGGTTTCTAATCGATTCCTCCACCTTGGATCTCTCTCCCAAACTCCAGGCTGGAAGACCCTGCTGCATCTTCCACACTTAAGCTATCCCCAACTGCACTTCTGACTCCCTCCCTCCTTCAGCTGGCTCCTCCCTCAAAGTCTCTATTTCCACAAACAGCATTGCCATCCACCCATCTGTTGCCTACAGCAAAACCCACCAGCCACACATTCAAAACACCTACAGCAAAACCCACCAGCCACACCTTCAAAACGCCTACCACTGACCGGGGCTCCCCCACGCTGCTCAGACAACGGTCTCGGCCACCCCTCTCTCTCCTGGCTGTGACAGGAGACTGCTGTTGTCTGTCTGCCCATCTCCATCTCCAGTCTGTGGTCCACACAGTATTGCAGCTAGTGCTCTTCCCCTAATGGCTCTCGTCCTGCCTGGCTCTGGACTGAGCCTGGACGACAGTGTGCTCTACCCCCGACCCACCCCTCTTCATCTCCTACTATTTTTTTCCTTTGCTCATTCAGCTCCACCCAGGCGTGAATCTACACTTTAGGTGGGTGGTTTATTCTCTCCGAGCCTGCTTCCCTATCTGTAAAATGGGAGACCCGGAGTCGTTTTACATGCGCCTAGAAATAGCCTCAAGATAAAACGTCTACCCACCAAGCTCTCCATCTAGCCTGGGAGTGTCCCCAAACATCCCAAGAGTCCAGCTCCTCTTTAGCTCCCCCTCCCCTACAGCAAAGCTCAGGTACATTCAAGGGTCCCAGACAGTGGGAACTGAAGCGAGCTCAGATACCACCAAGCTCTTCTGCACCAGGGGAAGCCAGGGTGGCACTGGCGTGGGGGTACAGCTCCCCGTGAATGCTCTTTGCTGAAGTGCAGAGCTCAGTCCAGCACACACCGGGTCCTTAGCTTGCATGAAGGGTCTGCCTGCCCGGTTCCTGCCCAGGACTTCAACACAGCAGCCTGTCCTGATCAGCTGCCTCACTAGAGCCAGGTATGTGGTCCATGGCATCCCGGGGTGGGGGTGGGAGGATGCCTCGATCCTGATCTCTCTGCAAGAGTCCCCTAGGGAAGGAAATGAGGCTGTAGCTAGGGCTACAGCAGGCCTGGGGTCATGATCGCCTTTGTGGTGGGCTCCCTGTGTGTCCCGTTCCAGGCACTAGTTTTCTTGCTGGTAAAAGGTGACTAAGAGGGACATCGCACCTCCATCCAGAGGCTGCACATGGCTCAACAGAAAACTGCAAACTTGTTTAAAGTATCAATTTGGTGCGGCTTGGAGCGTGTACTTTATAGATGATTATATCACCTTGCAATGTCAAAAGACTGAACGGGGCTGGCTCCCTCTAGCATACCTCCGTGACTGGTGTGAGGACTCTTGGAGCTGGGTCAGTGGCTTTGAGAAAGGCCAAACAGGAGTTCTCCTGGCACAGGTTCTAGGGGAAGCTGGCTGCTTCCCCAGGCTTCTCTATGGCAATTTCACTACTAATTACCTTGGATGCCAGGTCACTGGTCACAGTGGGATCTGGGGCTGGATTTCTTGTTGGACAGCATAGAGGATGCTAGAGCAGAATCCCCCCCCATCTTCTGAGGTAAAGTCTTGTTAAAACAGGTCCACCTCAAGCTCACTCTGCAGCCTGTGTTGGCCTCAAACTCACGGCAATCCTTCAGCCTTAGTCTCCTAATTGCCTAGAGTAGACCCTTGACTTGACGTTAGTCCAAGCACCAAGCCATGGAATATGAGCATTACTGATGTCCCTTTAGCACAGGGCTGTCATGGTCCCCAGATGAGCCAGGTTCTCAAGCACTTTGAGCTCCTGATGGACCTGCCTGGCCTCACTAGAATGAGCTATAAGTGTCCATCCTGTCTTCAATTCGCTGTAGAGCGAGGCAGGGGCTCCTCTGTGGCACATATACGCCATGTGAACCACAGCAGGGAAGCCCAGAAAGCCCGGGACACGGGGAACGGTACTCCCACCCCACATAGCTGGTGTACAGTGAGTGGATACTCACGCCATGACTATCACGCTGAAGTCTAGCCAGTTCCACGGGTCCCGGAGGAACGTGAAGGCATGCAGGCAGAAGCCGCGAGCTAGAATCTTGACCAGAGACTCAAAGGTGTAGATGGCGGTGAAGGTGTACCTGGGGGGAGAGGCCAGCGGGGGCTCTCAGGGGACTGGAGCCCAGGGGCTGGGTTCCTAAGCTTCCCACATGGTGCAAACCCCGGGCAGCTCCTCACACCAGAGCCATCACAACGGATGTGCCCATGATAAAAGCTTTAGGAAGGGCCGCAGGTCGGGGTCAAAATCTAGCCAACGAGTCCCCTGACCATTTGCTTTACACAGAGACACTCATGTGTCTAGGAAACTCTTCACTCTCTCCCTCCCTGCAAGACCCCTGTATACTCCTCACTCCACCTCGGGGAAGGGGTCACAACCAGGTAGACATCATCGGATATCGTGGATAGGGAGAGTCGCTGACCTTTCTCCATGTTTGTGGAGTCTCCACAATTAGCAGTGGGGACCAGGGGCACCCTTAAGTACCTACAGGGCCGGAGCTCTGGCTGCCTACTCTGGGCTGAAGGGAATGCAGGCCTTCTAGTGTATAATGCTGGTGGGCGCTTTCTGCCTTCCGCAGCCTGAGCTGCCCAAAATGCCCGTGGGCTGGGAGAGGGTGGCTTGGGAATGGCTAACACTGCCACACCAGCCCTGAATGGTCCTCCGTGTAAGGCACTCTTGAAAGAGAGGCTGTTGCACTTTCTAGAGAGTTTCAGAAACCAGGAGCTAAGTGTGGGAAGGGCCTGCCAAGTCTGCTTAGACCCGGAGGAGTTGGACGTATCTTCAGGAAGGGAAGTCTCCAAAGCAGTGTTTTTTTGTTTGTTTGTTTGTTTTTCGAGACAGGGTTTCTCTGTGGCTTTGGAGGCTGTCCTGGAACTCGCTCTGTAGACCAGGCTGGCCTTGAACTCACAGAGATCCACCTGCCTCTGCCTCCCTAGTGCTGGGATTAAAGGCGTGTGCCACCAACGCCGACCCAAAGCAGTCTTCTAAAGCCTGTAGGAGGCAGGACCCGGGCGCAGGCCACGGTGACAGCGCAGTGTTATAGTGGGGACAGCCCTCGCCTTCCTGCCCCCCCCCCCCGTCTCCCGGCTGCATGTCGGACTCCGACTCTCGGTGTGCCCATCTTCCAAATGGGACAGGAGGCTGACCCCCACTGTCAGGGGTCAGTGGAGAGGACGCTTGCTGACCTCGCGACAGTGCCTGGCATGCCCCGCTTTAGGGGGTGACAAAGATTACCCCACGAACAAGCACGCGCCGGGGCTGAGAATGCGAGAGGGCAGAGATCCAGGCGGAGGGCCACCCTCCAGAGCGCGGGGCTGCAGGTGTGGCGCAGCCTCTGCCTCAGACAACCCCAGGGCCCACGGCACGGGGCAGAAAGGGATGGGGCAGGAGGAGGGGGCCTCGGGGGTACTCACTCGACATATTTGGTCCAGGGCGGAGGGTCGTGCTGGGCCATGAACACACAGTTGGTCAGGATGGTGCACATGATGAGCATGCTGAAGAGAGTGGCGCGGGAGTTAAGGAGGCAACGGAGGGCAGCGCCCACAAATCCACGGCGGAGACCCGCAGAGAAAGCCTCACCCACCAACGGCTACGGAAGGACCCACCAGAACCCGTGGGGGAAAGTCTGCCCATAAAGCCATGGGAGGGGACAGGCAAGCCGCGGAGCCATAACCGCTGACTGACTGACTGACTGACAGGCTGACAGACGGACTGACTGACTGACTGACTGACTGACAGGCTGGCCCGGTGTTGCCACACGGGCAGGCAGGTGCTGCGCTCTTCTGCGCCACACCCTCCCTTCAGAGCAGTCTGATCTCAGCTCCCTCCAGGGCGCTTGTTGCCAGAGCCCGCCCTTTTCCACAGCTCTTAGCAAGCGCCAGACAAGCTGGAGACCGCATCTTCCACAGGGCTCTCTGTGGGACCCAGTATGGAGTGAAGAGGCACCCCAGACCTTAGGGTTGACTCCTGCCCTGAGGAAGACAAGCTTCACAAGCTGCTCCTCCGCTTAGGGAGGGCCAGCAGGACAGGCAGGGTCCCAAGTTCCCTCTCCTCAGGGTTTAGCTTCAAAGCACGCACCTGGAGGTGACCTGCCAGGTAGGAGTGTGTGTGTGTGTGTGTGTGTGTGTGTGTGTGTGTGTGTGTGTGTGTAGCATTTCCTGTGTGTGTGGGGAGCATTTCCTATGTGCTTCTGGTCACTGCACCTGCCTCTCACTGGTCCTATGCCCTGTACTTCTTGCTCTTCAAATGTAACCTCAGAAGGAAGCTCCCAGCCCTCACAGACGACCCCAACCCCCAGAGGCCAGAGATCACCTTTTTAGCCTGTGGCTTCTCCCCCAGGAAGGGGGCTCTGCAAACACTAGCTTTGCGTCCTGGTTATCTTTGTGGGACCCCAGGTATAATCTACACCCCGCCCCCTGCTCCGACTCTGGCTGTTTATAAACTCAGGGCTGGCCTACAGGTCTGCTCATCCAGGGAGAGCAACTCTCCAGGCCCTGGGGTACCTAGCTCAGCGTGATACACAACTGTTGTAAGGCCACTGTCATGGTTAGCTTTAACTGCCAACTTGGCACAGCCGAGGCATAAAGGAAAGCCTCAATCGAGGAATGGCCAAGATCAGACTGGCCTATGGGCATGGGTGTGGAGGGATGCCTTGATGGACCAGTGACGCAGGAGGGCCCAGTCACTGTGGGCAGTGTCACCCCACGGGCGGATGGTGGTCAGGGTTATAGAAGGAAGCCAGCAGGCAGCATCCTCCACGGTTTTCGCCTTTAAGTTCCTGGCCTGGCTTCCCTCGGTGATGGACTGTAATGCATAAGCTGAAATAAACCTTGCTCTCCCCTACGTTGCTTTTGGCTAAGTGTTTTTATTACAGCAACAGAAATCACACCAGAACAGTCACCACGGCCAGGCCTGTCTTCCTGTCTGTCTCTCAGGGTTCAGACACTCGCCTCAGCAGCCCATTGCTATCTCTGACACGTCTCCACACCAGGCTCTGTGACGTGATGGAACTTCTCTCACTGGGTGAAACCACTTACAGACCCCTCAGCCAGCCTCATCAGTTTCCAAGGGCTCGCTGCTGAAGTGCAGAAAACCTCAGAACATTTTTGAATATTTCCAAAGCATATATCCAATGGGTCCCTCCCGGGAGCCAGGCTCGCCCATGGACCAATCTGACCCTGATAACCCTAGGAGGCGTGAGCTTTGCCTTCACCCGAAGAGACAAGAAAAGGTCACTGCAGAAGGCAGGACCCGCCCCAGAGATGCCCACTCCTGAACCCCTGGTGCCCGTCACTCCGCTTAGATGTGATTAGGCAGATGTGGCTCAGTTATGAACTTGAGGTGGGTTTTCCAGAAGTATCCAGTTAGGTTCAATGTCAGCACAGAGGCTTTTACTGGCCAGTGCCATGAGCTCGGGAATGTGAAACAGTCCTGTAAAAAGAAGAAAAACCTAGAAAACTGCCTCACCCCTAGAGCTCCCGGAAGGGAAGGAAGCCCGGCTGATGCCTTGACTTCCACCCGGAGAGAAGCCCCCAGAGCTGTAAAGCGATAGCTATGTGCTCTGCGATGCTGGCTTGTCTGTGACCACCAGGACCCACCACAGGGGCACTGATGGCGGTTGGAGTTGGGCCCATCTGCACCACACCCCGGGTTCAGGAGTCACCCCTGACACAGACTTTCTGCAGGGATTCGGCTGCCCTCGGGTCCACTCTCCTGCCTCCAGAGCGGAGGACTTCGTGTTAGTCACAGCACCTAGACCCTCACCTGACAACAAGTGTGCTGTCCCTTACCTGTCACCCACGGTGCTGTATGACAATCAAACCAGGTGACAGGCTCTGCTAAGTGGCAGGAGAGTGCCACACAGGAGGGACAAGGAAATCGCGTCATTTTGTGTGTGCACATGTGCGTGGTGGGACACATGTACACGTGTGCATGCTGCGTGTGGCCTGGGGGGGACAATCTTGTGTGCCACTCCTCAGGTGCGAGTCTCCCACTGACCTGGAGCTTGCCAAACAGACCAGGCTTGGCGACCACGGCGCCAGCGATCGTCCCGTGTCTGCCTCCCTAGTGCTGGGATTTACAAGTGTGTGCCGGGTGCCCTGCCTTTTTACACGGATTCTGAAGATGAAGCTCAGGTCCCCATGCTTGAGAGGCAACGACCTTACCGACTGCGCCATCTCTGCAGCCTTTGCGTGTCATTTTCACCTGGCCACGAGTAAGTGGCAGCAGAACCGTGTCCCGAAACACTACAAAACTGGACATTATGCCTCCAATGGCTGAGGGCTTCCTGGAGGAGGCCTGTAAGGCTACTCATGGCTCTTCCAGCAACCTGTAAGCTTGCAGACCCTTCCTTCCCTGTGGAGTCAGAATTTTTCCACTATCGGTGGACCACTCACAACTCCTCGGAATGGGAAGAAGGCTTCTCTACATAGAGTGGCTGTGTGGCTGGCTGTGTGGCTGGCTGTGTAGACAGGCTGTGTGGATAGGCTGTGTGGCTGGCTGTGTGGACAGGCTGTGTGGACAGGCTGTGTGGCTGGCTGTGTGGACAGGCTGTGTGGCTGGCTGTGTGGCTGGCTGTGTGGACAGGCTGTGTGGCTGGCTGTGTGGACAGGCTGTGTGGCTGGCGGTGTGGACATCCTCAAGGATGTAGCTAGGCTGATGAACACACACTTGGACATTAAGATGAGGGGACACTGTCTAGGTTTTCCAGAGCTGGTGATGACACAGGGTGGGGTGAACCAGCCCCCGTCCTTCCATTTGACACCTCAAAAGTATCACCTGGCTTCCTTGGCTTTGGGGATGGTGCTGATGCTACTGTCAGTTTTCTGTGTGTGACGAGAGGCAGCTCTTGCTACCTATACCAGGATCCTAGTCTTCAGGCCTCTCCCCTAAGCACCCAGGATCCCAAGGAGCCCAGCATGGGCCAGTGCCAGACTCACAAGTCACCCAAATTCCCAGACAGGACACATCTGTTTGCACTGCTTGCTAGCTTCAGGCCAGTATCAAGCTGGCCCTTTGTGTGGGCAGCGGCAAAGGCCAGCTCTACAGGCCTGTGCACAGCAGAACATCTTCAGTCCTGTTGTGTCATTGTCCCAAACACCCACTCCCAGCCTCACAATTAAAATGCCAGCAAAGGCTGCCTGTTCAACAACACAGAATGCCTGACGCTTGGGTCACTCAAGTCTTCAGCTCCAGGAGTCAAACCTCCCAAAGAGGAGGGAATTAATCATGGGCGGATACTGTCATGGGTTTGTGCTGTTCAATGAACATGCACACACGCTCACACGCGCGCACACACATACACACACATACACACACACACACTATTAATTTGATTGCCCATTTGAATCTGGTAGAGAAACGTGGGAGGGTTTTGTGAGCAGATCCTGGGCACTGAGGAAGACAAAATGCTCCTTGGCATGAACATGAGGTCTCTCTGAATGTGACTGTGGTGGCATTCACAGTTCTATTAGCTTCTTTTATTTAATCATGGCAGGGACACATTCTGCAGGATTATAACAAAAATGCAAGGGAACAAACCAATTCTACATGCCCATATTTACTTTTCCAGCCGTTTCCCGGAGATGCATCACAAGCTCAGAACAAAGACCAGAGCCCAACATAACAATGGCACTGGCCTGTCACACCATGACCCTTCACTGTCACAGGAGACCAGGATGCGTCCGTGCCTCTTATACTAGGATCCTGTATAGGTAGCAAAGTTTGCCTTTGCCCAGCCCATCCACGGGGTCACACACAGCTTAGTACAGGTGCAGACGGGGCCAGTATTTGAGTGGATGTGAAAATTTAAGCACGGTGCAATTTCACCACTGGAAGCAGGAGCTTAGACTGTTCACTGTGACACAGGCACAGTGGCCCATGACTTCCTGGCACTCCAGATGTGGAGGCCAGAGAGTTCTGAGATCTAGGTCGACCTGGAAGAAGAGTGAAATCCTCTGCAGAAAGCTAAAAACCCCAATGGAATCGCTTTGTGTTTCGGGGCAGCACTCAGGAGGCAGAGGAAAGTGGATCTCTGTGAGTCCAAGGCCAGCCTGGTCTACAAGAGGGAGTCTCAAAAAGAATAGCGCCATGGTTGCTAACGGGCACAGGCTCAGCCCAATTTGGGGGGGTTGATAGAATCTTCTAGAAGTAGACATCGGTGATGATTGTGCAGCCCTACAAATACATTTAAAAAATCACTGAATCGCACACTTTAAAATGAGTATTATTGGCAGGAGAGACAGCTCAGCAGTTAAAAGTGCACACTGTTCTTGCAAAGGACCTGAGTTTAGCTCTCACCACTCACAATGGGCAACTCACAACCATCTGTAACTCCAGCTCCTGGGGATCTGATGTCCATAAGCACACATGCACACACACGCGCACACACATACACACATGTATGCACACACATGTGCACGCACACACACAAGCACACACACATGCATGCACACGAGAGACAGAATTAAAATTAATAAAAAATAAATCTAAACTGTTTTATGATATGTAAAGTAGACCTCGACTTTTCAGACGGTGTCAGTGGAGAGCGTGTGGGTTCCTGGGTCTTTAGCTGGTTAAAGGCCCCCAAATCTGCCTTTTAAACAAACCTCCTGGGTGACACAAAGTGGAATAATTAAATGCAAGCTCCGAGGTAGTACCCAGGGCTCTGCAGTTTCTGCAAGATCCTAGTGATGCTGGGGGGGGGGCTGGTGGGTACCCATCCCTCTGGGGTCTGAGATGACTGGGAGGTGATGCTGGGGGGGCTGGTGGGTTCCCATCCCTCTGGGGTCTGAGATGACTGGGAGGTGGGCTTCCAACACCACAGATCTCAGCCCCTTCTTCCATTAGATGGCTCTGTGAGGGATTATTGTCCCAGCCCCAGAAAATGGAGCACTACAGCAGGCCCAGAGCCTAGGGTAGGGCTTCACACACACACACACACACACACACACACACACACACACACACACACACACACACACACACACACACCCTGCTTCCCTGGGGTGGCTGCCTGGGGGAAGGCAGGCAGGTAGCCCAGGGCTCTCAAGGCTGGGCTTGCCAGACAGGACCAGCAACTCACAGCCTCAGAACCACCACTCAACGCACCCTCTGCCTGGGCTGAGGACACCAATGTCCCTACTGTCTTCCTCATCCATCTGCTTCCTGGTCTCTCATCTGCCCTAGCAAGTCCCAGCCCAGTGCCTGGAGAGAGCCATGGGGCCTAGGCTGCATCCCTTGAGATTCTTGTGGCTGCCAAACACTGTTGGGTTGGTTAGCTACCTGGAGAAGCAGCCCCGAGTGAGCTTGGAGGATGCCTTCGGGGGTGGCCACACCCCTGCGGCAGCCCCGAGCACTAAGGAAACTGCCTCTCCTCCTCCTTCGGCTCTGTTCTTCCTACAGAACTGTGACCACACTCGGGAGGGAACGACAACTTGGCAGCTGTCTTGCCACTCTGAGGGAGCTCTCTGAAGGGGAGATGCTCAGAGTTGGGGTAGAGGTGGCTGGGGAGGATTTGGGGAGCTCTGCCCAGCCGGTTCACCTGATGTCATTTGGAGCTCAGTAATAATATAACTGGGATTCCCAACGGCACTTGTGGGCCTTGGAGTTGGCTCAGTGGTTAAGAGCTCCTGCAAGTCTGACAGCCTGGGTTCCATCTCCCACATCCGCGCGGTGGAAAGAAAAGACGGACGCCTGACCCCCGACCACATCCACACCATGGTGCATATCATGTTTCCCCCAACATCACAAGTAAACAAATAAATGCAATAATAATAACAAAAATCAACAACAACAACAAAGCCCAAACCAGCCAAACAAACAACGTCACTGACGACAGGCATGGCCTCGTCCAGGTCACCAGTGGCCATCTTCCCATGTCCTCACAGTAAAATGCGGCTGCCTGTGCCTTGGTGGACAGCACCAACCCTCTCTGAATGGGCTGGCTCAGCGGCAAAGGCACCTGCTGTCAACCCTGACCGCCCGTGTCTGATCCCTGGAGCCCACGTGGTGAAAGGAGCCAGCTGACTCGCACAGTCTGTCCTGTCACCTCCACATCCCCCCCACCCCCCACAAACGCGGTAAGTAAATGAGCGTGTCTTAAAAGTGAAACGCAGAGAAGGCCCCCCGAAGCTGGTTTGGCGCTCTTTGTCCCAATGCTTCATTCTAATAGCTCTGTCAGCAGGCAGGAAGCATTTTTAGGCTGTGGTTTATGTAATTGGACGCTAACCAGAGTTCTTTGAGAAGCTCTCAAACTGCAAACATTTTGTCAACACCTAGTTCAGAAGCAAGGGCTGTCTCCTTCGAAAGGTGCCCACGAGAGAAAGAAAATAAAAAAAAAATCTAGAGGCCTTTTTACCAAGACATGGCTTTTCTTTGGCTGAGCCTCTGCAAGGGGTAGCAGGAGATGGGGGGGGGACCCCAGGGGTGGTGGTAGGTGGGGACATTTGGAGCCATCAGAGACAGGGCAATGCTGGGGACATCGTTTCCTCTGGAATCCTACTGCTGGCTTTAAGGCTGTTTTTTCCTCTTGAAGAAGCAGAGGGGATGTAAAGGCTTCCCCCAAACTTCCCTCCACCCCAGACAGCCCCTAGGGATCTTGTTACCAAGCAGGCGCTGTCCAGGGTGGAGTTCAGGGTTCTAATTTTCCTAATCAGCTGCTTGCCCCGGGAGCAGGGAGGGGGCAGGCTCAGCACCACCACCACCACCCCCGCCGCGCATCAGCCCAGGGCAGGGGCAGACCACAGGGAGGAACAGCAAAGGATATGAATGTACCAGGATCTTCACTGCCGCTCTGCGCACGGGGTGGAAGGGGCTGAGGACGTACAAGGCGTTGGTGGCGCTGAACCGGAAGATGGTCTTGCCCTTATTCAGCACGATGAAGGTCTGTGGGCAGAGGCGGACAGCTGTCATCTCGGAGCCCCCGGGTGGGGAAGGAGTAAAGGAAGCGGGACCTCCCCTCACCGTGGACCCCATGCCTGGGCCCCGAGTGAAGAGGGGGAGAGGTGGGGGTCTGGGTGGCGTCTGGTTGGTTGAGATTTACTTTAGTTTCAGAATTACCATCTCAGCCAGGACCCTTTGGCAGCTGGGGGTGGCCGCCCACGCCTATCTATAATCACAGCCGGAGAAGAGGCTCGAAGCCCACCCAGCCTGAACTCCATCCTTTGGCTCAACTACTGTCTGTCTGTCCCTCTACTGGTCTCGTCTGACTCCAACCTAATCCTTTCTGCTCCTCTCACAGCGACCTAGACTCTCTCTCAGTCATGTCCCTAACTCCAATCCCAATCCTGTCATCTCTGACTGACCGTGACCCAAATCCACCCACCCACTCACCCAACCCCGACCCCACCCCAGTCACTTGAGCCAGGGAGTTCTGGAAGCCTCACAGTAGGCCCAGGTCAGCTTTCCTGACAGCGGAGACTGAGTGTGTGTGTGTGGGTCCCTTAACATCCATAGCTGATCTCTCGTGCAGCCTCCTATGAGCGCTTACACACAGACACGCACACTCAGGCCCTTAGTCTCCCAAAAGTGACAGACAGGCTGACCCACGTTACGCAGACCCTCACACTGTGACTGAAAGGTTATCTTTCCCTCTGCTCTGCTTGGAACTGACCACAGCAACACCAACGGCTTCCTTGGCCTCTGGTGCCTTCAGGTGAGGCCTTTCTCCGGATTCCAGCCTGTTGTCCCGCCATCAACCCTCACAATTAGGCCCAGAAGAAGGTGCGGACAGTTGGGTGGGTCCCCCGTGCCTCGGTAGGAGCCCTGTGTATCTGTCACCTTGTCTGGTGTGAGATGGTGACCCGTGGTCTGAAGAGGAGGTCAGGGCAGGGTCTCATGGAGAAAAGACACCCCTTCCCTCTCCCGGGGAGCAACACTGACAGAACAGGTCTTTCCCACCATTCCAGGCCTCAGCGGCCGCAGCCTCTTCTCCCCTCTCAGCCTTCCCGTGGCCTCTGTGGTTCAGGGGAAGCCACATGGCCCAGGAGGCTAAGGCCACTTGGCTCACCTTGAACCAGCAGGCTCTGATGACGCTGCTGGCTGGCTCTCTAGGCTGCCAGAGGGATGGGGGAGCACATGCCACTTTTATTTAGAGGGGAGACCACTGAGGGCTTCACTCCAAGTGCCCACCCGTCTGGGGGCAGGAACAGAACCCCCTAGAGGTATATACCAAAGCACTACACAAGAAGGCAAGACCTAGGCGGTTTTCCCGCCCCCAAGTTAGGGGCCCAAACACCACTATTTATGTCTTCACCCCAGAACTCCAAATCTACAGTGACTGGAATATAGATCAGTTATGAGTCACTCCCCCAAAGCCCAGGGGAGCTGGCCCCACACAGAACCCCACATAAGCAGAGCCCCATCTGCCTGCCGCCTTCCTAGGAGCTACCTGGAAGGGTGAGGAGGGTGTTAAGGGGGTGGCAGTCACCTTCTGGGTACTATAGAAAGGGTCCAGATCTTCCAGGGGCTCCCCAATGAGCTCTCGAGGTGGGTTGCCATAGAGATCTGGCAGTTTTTTGGAGGCCTGCAGGTCCAGCTGGGGCCGGGGAGCCTCCTCCTCCGGCAGGCCCTCACGACTCTCCTGCGACGCGGCCGAACCTTGGGCCTGCTTCTCCGCCATGCGCTTCTCGATGGCCGCCAGAGACTCCCGGGTGAACCTACGGAAGCTGCTGGTGCCCCGAGGTAACAGGAAGTTTGCCATCTTCTCATCCTGCTTCTGGGGGCACAGGGTCTCCTCAGACTGCCTGGGGGGAGGCTGGAAGACACAGACATGTGTGTGACGGGGTGCCACAGACAGGGGCAGGGTGGTCGGCCAGCTCTGCCGGAGCAGCAAAGGACACAATCTGAAAAGTGTACTTTTCATTGAACGGGCACACGTGATTGGCAGTGGCGGGGGTAAACACGTATGCTCTCCGCTGCGTGTGTGTGTGTGTGTGTGTGTGTGTGTGTGTGTGTGAGAGAGAGAGAGAGAGAGAGAGAGAGAGAGAGAGAGAGAGAGAGAGAGAGAGAGAGAGAGAGAGAGAAATGTCACTGAAGAGGCTCTCCACTCCTGCCCCAGTGTGTGTGTCTGAAAACCAGTGGTCAAGGGAAAATCATGCGTTTACCCTGCCCACTCCACACACAAGAAAGCATCTCAACTGTCCTCTTTGAAGACTCTTCCCTCCCCGACTGGCTCTCTGGGCTCCATGGGACAGGGATGGACAGAGAGGCCATTTGCTTCATCCCAGACCCTGACAGAATGGATCTTCTGCTCCCCCATGAAAGGTGTAACATGCATATGTCCGGAGTTGGCCCTGGATGGGACCGGGTCCTGTCCCTCCTCGTCAGGGAATACTCCCAGCCTGAGTGGTGTCCAATTCCCACAGTCCCCATGCCCGCCCATGAGGTGGTACACACCAAACCTGGACATAGGAGGCAGCGACTGAAGGGACATCAGCGTTCACCCCAAAGGGACCCAGGAAACCCTGCGGGTTTTCAGAAACATCTGGGCAGCAACACAGGAGTTGGCATCCAAATGCTGGCACTCGGGTGTGCACAGCTGTGCAGACCTCCTGGTGAGGATCTCGTGGGATGCCCTGGGTGCAGCGCCATCCCTAACTAGACGGATTCTAAAGATGGGGATGGGACGGGTGTGCCTCTGGCTCATCACACGGCCCCTCTTCCCCCACAAGAGAGGACAAACGAATGCCAACCCCAAGGGGACAGCAGCACCGGAAAGACGGTGACCACTGCTGAAGAGGACGTCCAGCAGGCACATGTGTGTGACGTCAAACCGGGAGAATGTGGCCCCTGGTGGCCTCAAAAGATTCAGAGCCTGGTGCAAACACACTCTGTCGGTGACAACAAGGCAAAAGAATGCATTCCTGACTGGCTCGCCAAAACAGGATGTGGCCAGAGGGCTCCTGACTATGACACCAAGCCGGGGGCTGCACCGCTAATTACCACATCAAACCCGGGAACGACTGGGCACCGGCTCAAGAAGGCAGACTGGACACCTGCTGGAGATCTCTGCCAGGGACACACTCCCTTCCTGTCAGTCATGGGCTGTGCCCTGATCTCGCTTCTGGGGAGCATGTCAGGAATGGCTCCTGTAAGCCGCCCTGGCACCCACCCCACGGCCAAACGAGGACCCAGACTCAGGGCGCCCTGAGCACCACAGGTTGCAGGCATTCAACCAGGTAGGATCCCCACAAGATTGGCGGGGACAGAGAACTGGTCGACATGGTTGTTCTTTGACCTCCACGCTTGCTGGGGCAGTACAAGCACATGAACGGGGAGAAGGGGCAGGGAGGGGGCGGGAGGGGGCGGGAGGGGGGATGGTGGGAGAGCGCACATGAGAATACAAACATAATGCGATTGAAACACACAGGGAGGGCGCCTCTAGGGACCGGGCAATATTTGCCACAAACGCTTGAAGATCTCAGTTTGGTCCCTGGTTTCCACATGAAAAGCTGTGTGAGAAAGAGAGAGTGCCTGCCTGTGATTTTAGTGCCAGGGAGGCACAGACGGGAAGACCCTGGAGCTGTCTGGACCATCAGCCTAACCCAGGTCCTAGTGAGAAACCCCAGCTCAGAAAACAAGTTGGACACCTCTTGAGGAATGATACCCTAAGTTGACCTTTGGCCTCCACATGCTAGCATACATGCACCTCTGTACTGGACACACACAGACACACACACACAGACACACACACACACATGGGGCAGGGTGCATTGGTGCATGTGTGTGTGTGCGAGCATGTGTGTGTGCGAGCATGTGTGTGTGTGAGCATGTGTGTGTGCGAGCATGTGTGTGTGTGAGCATGTGTATGTGTGCGAGCATGTGTGTGTGTGAGCATGTGTATGTGTGCGAGCATGTGTGTGTGTGAGCATGTGTGTGTGCGAGCATGTGTGTGTGAGCATGTGTGTGTGAGCATGTGTGTGAGCATGTGTGTGTGCGAGCATGTGTATGTGTGCGAGCATGTGTGTGTGCGAGCATGTGTGTGTGTGAGCATGTGTATGTGTGCGAGCATGTGTGTGTGCGAGCATGTGTGTGTGTGTGAGCATGTGTGTGTGCGAGCATGTGTGTGTGTGAGCATGTGTGTGTGTGCGAGCATGTGTGTGTGCGAGCATGTGTGTGTGAGCATGTGTGCGAGCATGTGTGTGTGCGAGCATGTGTATGTGTGCGAGCATGTGTGTGTGCGAGCATGTGTGTGTGCGAGCATGTGTGTGTGCGAGCATGTGTGTGTGCGAGCATGTGTGTGTGAGCATGTGTGTGCGAGCATGTGTGTGTGAGCATGTGTGTGTGTGAGCATGTGTGTGTGCGAGCATGTGTGTGTGTGCGAGCATGTGTGTGTGTGAGCATGTGTGTGCGAGCATGTCTGTGTGTGTGCGAGCATGTGTGTGTGTGAGCATGTGTGTGCCAGCATGTGTGGACCCCTGGGCAAGCACGGCGTGAGGCAGAGTGCTGCAGAAACAGGAAGGCAGGAGTTCCCCTTACAGCTTCTCGTTTGGTTCACGTGAAGTTGAAGGACCATCTCTGTTAAAAATAGCAGGCGAGAGGGTAGGTCCCCGCTTCCTAAGGGCCTTTCCCTGCCTTGCCTCACCTCAGACCGAGAAGGCCTCTCTCTATCCACGGCCCTGCCCACCAAACATGAATGGTGATTCTTTTTCTTCCCCTAGCTTTAGAATTTGGGTCATCCTAAACTTCCTTGGCACCTTCCCCCATTGCTGGAATCCACTATGATGAGCTTGCAAAAACAATAAAGTCATTATTCATCTCGTGTTAGAAGCCAACAGCCTAGCTGGAGGACCGCGGGGCAGCCCTCTCCACGGTGAGCGATTGCTCCTTCTGTAAACTGGGAAGCCACCCCTTAGCTTGGGATTATTTGCTAAAAATAGTGTCCTCTGGATCACGGCATCCATCTGTGTCCACACGCCTGCAAGGGTTCTGGAGACACGTGGCCGCCCGGGGATGCACACACACGGTGCAGAAGCGAGTGTGTGTACGAGCCTGCACCGGCACACGCATCTGTCTCAGTGAGGACGGGTTTGCAATTTGTATTGAAATAAAGGATCTGTGCAAGCAGATGCCAGGGAGTGCACAGGTGGGTGAATTCTCACACGCGGAACCTCTGTGGTACCCGGCACCCAGATGGAGAAACTAGTCCACCATCACTGCCATTGTGACCTCCCCTTCACTCCCCTTCCCCTGCCCGACACCCACATCACAGGTAGCCACTTGCTCCCGGACCAGGGTGTGAGTTCTGTCTGTTTGTACAGTTTGGGGAAACAAATTGGGGGAGGAGAGATGGTATCTCCTCATGAACTCCATGAAATATTTTCCTCATTGGTGAAGGTAGTAGCATTAATAGCTATGACTCACAGACTCCCTCTCCACAGCCCTGTCCCATCACGGGAGCTGTGGGTGCCTCAGGTATTAATACTACCCATAATTTCAATGTCATAGCACTTACAACTCCTGCTTGGTCCCACTTAAAACATTGGAAAAGGCCTACACACTAGTGAAAATTGGTTTTAAGTGTCCCAACAGCTATATTCACTACACGGATTTCCCTTTTAATGCTGCATATTTTGTCTTGAAAACTGATTTCCAAGATAGGTCTCTCTCAGAACTCAGTCCCTGTTTAGTTACTGACCGACCCTGGGGTCCATCTCCCTTAGCTGTGGGTGGGGGGGACCCCGAGTGCTCCCTGGCGTTCCTTGATGCCCTTCCCATGATCCCCCACAGCTGATGTCAACCTCCCGATGGCTCCCTGGGACTTTGGGGGCATCCCTGGGCAGGGTTGGAGACCAGCACTGTTGAGTCGTCAAGAGAGAAGCCTGGGGCCCCCAGCCTGCCCTGCCCTTGAACCTGATAAATTCATGCTGAGTCCTGCTGGGTTCAAGAGTAAGAGAGGGCTTTTGGGGACCCAGAGAACCTCAAAAACACCCCTAGGTTAGAGGACCATAGGTTACCGTGTCCAAGCACTTGCCCCCTCCAACCAAGTGACAGGGTTTTAGGTCCCAAGTAAGGTCAGCATCCATATCCTGGGGGAGGCCCTGGCATCAGAGGCCTGTCTGAAACTAGATTCCCCGCCTCCCAGCAGCAGGCAGCCTCGGGTTCCTAAGTAAACCTGCCAAGAGTGGCCATTGTGTCTGGGCTACTCCCGAAGGGCTGGCAGGATCAGCTTTCTCTCTTGTTCTCCTGCCTGCACCTGGCCCTGGCCCCGCCCCTGCTCCAGCAGCTCAGAGCCCACACCCGGTGATGCCTGGTGCAGCCCAGCTGCGGGGTTACAGGCTGCCAGGAGGCGGTGGGCTCCAGAGAGGTCTGAGTGTGCCGAGGGATCTGTGGCTGTGGAAGGCAGGAAGAGAAGTTGAGCAAGCCTCTGTCTTCCAGCTCCCTAAGCTGGGAGGCTATGGCCGGTTTGGTTCCAAGATGACAGTGCCCAGGGCGCAGCAGGCCGGGTCAGCGGGCCACTCCCCTGCCCCAGTGCGGCTTCCCCTCTCTCTCAGCACTGGCCCTCCAGCTGCCCCGGGGGCTGGAGAGCTTCTTCTAGCTGACCCCTCTGCCCAGGGTACTCTCCCCTGCCCCAGCATGTAATTAGGATGTCTCAGGAGTTGGTGCCATCCTAACTACATCCCTCTGCCTCAGGTCACAGGGCACGTGTCTCCCTATGTGGGGCCAGCTGTGGAGTTAGTGGGAGCATCCTTCAAACAGACTCACACTGCCGCCCTCTCTAGCTGTATGCCCGCCACCGCCACTCACGGCTTCCCCCTCCATTTCCAAACGCCCGGGACAGGCTCCTTAACCACTGCATGGATCGCTGTGATGGTTAACGGAGCCAACTAGACAGCGTTCAGAATCACCCAGGACACATGTCTCTGAGCGTACTGGTGGGGGATTCTCTAGCCCGAGCGCTCTGGGGGTTGGAAGACCCACCCTGCGTGATGGTGGCATCGTCCCGAGGGATGAAGCGAGAGGAGAGAGTGGGCTGAGCACCGGCGTTCATCTCTCTCTGTTTCCTGACTGCGGATGCAATGTAGCAGCCGGTGACCTTGCTATTGTCACCACGCCTTCCCCTCCGTAATGGGCCCTACCCCTCGAACTGTGAGTCAAAATAACCCCTCCCTTCCTCACACCGCTTCTTGTTAGGCATTCATCACAACAGCAGGCGCATTAACCACCACAAGGACCAGGCCCTCCCTTCTAGACTTCCCTGGCCACTAAGCGTCTCTGGGGACAAACCCGTTTACCCGAGTTGGTCTGGATGTCTCGCTTAGGACAGGGAAAGGATTCTCCTCTGACCTACTGGACGGAACGGGGCAGACTCTGTGGGGGGGTGAACACCATGCCGGCTTGGAGCGTGCTCCCACGGCATGGGCCTTCCTGAATATATATGGCTCATGCCAGTGGCCAGAGATGCCACTGAAATGAACACACACCCTAGCAAACCTAGAATACAGCTGTGGGTACTGTCCCCTGTCCTTAGCGGAGGGGGCCAAAGCTGGGTGGTTTACCCTGGTTTGCGGGCTTTGACAGCGAACTCGCGGGATTCCCACCATGGGGCGATGGCGGGGGGGGGGGCAGCTCCTTGCAGGCCCTCCCTGCCTACTTCAATCCCAGAGCCTGAAGGCAGGCTCACCCCAGCCTCCTGCCTGAGTCGTGTCTGGCATTTTGGCGGCTGTGGAATCAGAGTCTCTGGAACCCAGCATGCAAAG